AACCCGATGCGAAGGTTGAGGAGTGGCCGGTGCTGGCATGAGCACCAGGGATTAGTCGGCTGCCTGAGAATGAGGACTTATGCCGACGCGGAATGTGGCCAGATGACACTCCGCACCAGGTTGTGGTAGCCAAAGGCGCCGCCCGGTAACCCCTATAAACGCTGGCGATTCCATAAGCGATACGACGCGCCGCGACGTCGCAGAGGCCCGGCTAGGCAGGCGGCTGTGACCATGCTTTCCCGAATGCCGGCGCTGAAACGGCTACTAGATAGCAGGCTGGTGTACTAACTAGGTGCTACACGATAGGGCTGGCCAAGCCGGCTATTGCGGTGCAGCGGTGATGGCGCTATGCATAACGATACTCAATGCTCAGTACATGCTTAATAGGCTTTGTGGAACTCTGCGGCGATTACATGGTTGTAATCCCACCATGCGGTAAAGCATCATGGAGGCCACGAAAAGCGCCGACCAGGCGCAATCCGAAGGCAAAGACTGCGGCACAAGATCTGTCGCTCCAGGGAAGCAACAACGAACAGATACACGAACGCGGCAACTCAACCACTGGTATCACTCAACCGCTGGTATAAAAAGAAACATAAAGATAACTGCAAGTGCCTACGAGTTGGACATGCTTGGGCGATGCAAGCAACCAACCGACCTGCTCTGAAACCACGGACCATGATTTCGCATACGCATGGTTAGGACACGACAGCTGTCAAGCCCCAGGACTGAAATGAGCAAAACAATGGCATGGGGTATGACACTCCCCCCCACGCCCGAGGGAAGAAGTCACAAGGGCGGAACACAAAAAAGGAGTACCCCAGATCACACTGATGACCGGCAAGGTCAAACAGGCAACGGCATGAGAGTACGGTCAACGGAACATTAACGTAGGTACGAGCAAGCAATACGCTATCCGCTAGTACGGCAGAAACTGAGCACGCACCGACCCGTGGGCCAGCAGGCAAGCACTAGCCATGGCAACACCAATCCGGCAAGGGAAAGGCACGCGGCTACAAACCAAGAACACAGACCAGCTGATGCACAACTAAGCAGACATGGCAAGATGCTCTGTCCTAAGTGCAGATCCCCTCATCACCACATCCTAGACTGTAACTGCAAACTGACTTCTCCTCGCGCCAGTCAGGAGAAGCAAGCACGCTGACCAACGTCAATCCTATCCTGAACAAACATGACGGCCACGCGGCGCGGCGTGCCTTTTCCGACCTCAAGCGACCTACAACCAATCTACCCTGAACGACTCAAGACCACGCGGCTTGGCATGGCTTTCAGCATACACTAGTCACAAAGAAGCCCCTACAGGCAAGCATACAAGCACCATGAACAGGTCACTGCTGCGGCAAGGCAGTCTGTGAGCAGCTGTATGGCATGAACATTCACCGTCGGTGACGGCCCAGCAAGGCTTAATGTACAAGGCAGCAGCCCTCCTGTCCTACATGTAAGCGCAGTACGCCCCCCCAGACGGAGAGCATGAACTGAGGTATGTACGCAACCCCTCTCGCACGACACTATAACCAGCACACAGTCCGCAGCTAGTACCCCAAAGCGCCAGTACCAACATCCTAACGACTGCATCTACGACAAACCAGGGTTCAGAAGGCCTCGGAGGTCGTGGTGTCTCAATCGCCAAGCAGCTCCATCGACAGAACCGTAATGCCCAGGCAGGCCACCGCCACAAGAGCAGCACCCGCAATGCTGCGCCAAAGTGCAACGGTGTGACCGGCTGGTGGGTAAAACCGTGGTGCACTCGACGACCGTACAGCATAGAGGTCGTGGCTATGGCGGCTTGCGGGTTGGCCAGGACCCTTGGGTGCTGCAGGACTGAACGCTGCCGGTTGTAGAAGATGTAGAATCAGGCAATGATCAACGACGGGCTGGGCTTCGAACGAAGCTGGCTGTGCGGACGGGCTGATTGGAACTCGGATTGGGACAAGGAAGGGGACTGCAGAGGAGAAGGCAGCGCTGGGACACCAAGAGATGCCAAGAAGCCAGGACGCCCCCAACCTGCCGGGCTGCCTAATCGGCTGCGCTGTATGCAGACGCGACCAGGCATGTAGACGCGTCAACTCAGCAATAAAGCACATGGCGCCCAGGAAGAGCAGGGCTGCCAAGCGCCCCCCCCAGATAGCCGCCATGAAGCTGGAACAAGTGAAACAGTCAACACAGTCGGCGAAGGACCATATTGCAGCTCCAACTGAAGTAAACCCAATCAATGCACCCATGGCAGGCAAGCCGAAGCGTCCCGACAAAGCTTGTCGCTGACGATGTCGCTCGCCATCCCAGCAAGAAGCCGCACAGGACGAGAGCGGGGCTTTTCGTGGCAATACGGGCTTACCACTCGACAACCCGATGCGAAGGTTGAGGAGTGGCCGGTGCTGGCATGAGCACCAGGGATTAGTCGGCTGCCTGAGAATGAGGACTTATGCCGACGCGGAATGTGGCCAGATGACACTCCGCACCAGGTTGTGGTAGCCAAAGGCGCCGCCCGGTAACCCCTATAAACGCTGGCGATTCCATAAGCGATACGACGCGCCGCGACGTCGCAGAGGCCCGGCTAGGCAGGCGGCTGTGACCATGCTTTCCCGAATGCCGGCGCTGAAACGGCTACTAGATAGCAGGCTGGTGTACTAACTAGGTGCTACACGATAGGGCTGGCCAAGCCGGCTATTGCGGTGCAGCGGTGATGGCGCTATGCATAACGATACTCAATGCTCAGTACATGCTTAATAGGCTTTGTGGAACTCTGCGGCGATTACATGGTTGTAATCCCACCATGCGGTAAAGCATCATGGAGGCCACGAAAAGCGCCGACCAGGCGCAATCCGAAGGCAAAGACTGCGGCACAAGATCTGTCGCTCCAGGGAAGCAACAACGAACAGATACACGAACGCGGCAACTCAACCACTGGTATCACTCAACCGCTGGTATAAAAAGAAACATAAAGATAACTGCAAGTGCCTACGAGTTGGACATGCTTGGGCGATGCAAGCAACCAACCGACCTGCTCTGAAACCACGGACCATGATTTCGCATACGCATGGTTAGGACACGACAGAGTCACCCACGGCAGGCGGCAATTGCGCCGCCGCCGACGCCGACGCCGCTAGGGACGGCAACGATGGCGACGCTGACGGCGCCGCTGACGCTCCCCGTCGGAAGCGACAGGCTCTGGACTTGACGCCGCTTCCGCCGTTGCCGCCGCTCGGCTCGACGTTGGTGACGGCGGCAGCCCAGCCTCCGTTGAACTATCCGTCGCCGCCGCTGCAGCCACTGCTGGCGCCGCCATCGCACGAGGTGAAGGAAGCTCGTACACCCTCCGACGGCAGCTCACACAGTACGGTGCCGTTGGGGAACGCCGCATCCGCTGTTGTCGTACCTTCCATCACAACCGATATCACATCTGCCGTACAAGAGAGAATGCCGTATGTCGCAAGGAGAGGGTCGTGTGGTGGTCTGGCGATGGGGACAGTGACGACGCAGGCCGCATCGGGTGCGCAACCTTAGTTCTGGTGCCGTAATTCTTCCGGATGTACGGGCGGGGCACACTTGCGCCGCAGCGCTGGCAGATCTGTTTCGGCTGCGACCGCAACCTACCGTTGAATACGGCCTTGTTGACGTTGTGAAGTTGACTTTTTGTTGCACGGTAAGAGGTATGGTCAGTTGTTGTTTTTCCGCCATGCCAGCACGTTGCCAGAGTCGGTGAGGGGGGGAGGCCTGTGCGGACGCCTGTAGTGCCGGGGCGCCTAAGCGAGCATGGCTTTGCCGCTTTGCGAGCACGTTCGGATGGGGTGTTATACGGATTGAAGGGTGACGCCCAGCAGCTGGAGGGCCGAGGTGGTGGTTGGCGGCAGCCGACGGTGTAGAAAAGTGCGGTTGGTGGAAGGGTGCCGCTAGGAGAAGAAAGCGAAGTAGGTTCGGGTTGAGGGCTGAAGGGGCAGGGGGTGGGAGTGGGGCTCTGTGGCTGGACGGGGGGGATGGTCTCGGGCCCCTGCAGCAGAGGCTTGGATGACTGCTGACGGTGCTGGGACACAGCGTGTCTCCGTATGCTGTGTCGGTGCATGCTTCTGCTCGGCGCCTTCCTAACGTGCGTCGTTGTGGCTTTGAGGACCTTTTTGACCCGTCGACTAGGTTTTAGGTTGCTCCCTGCTGTTAAAAGGTGAAGAGTGTTGAACCCGTGTGCCATCACCTGAGAAGCGTACCGGTAATGCGGAACTACTGTACTACAACAGCAGCAGTAGCCTGCATGCGCCCCGCAGTGCCTGCTGCGAGCACGTGCCTACGTCTGGGGGCTGGGCATAAGAAAGGGGTGCTGGTGGGGTCTGCATGGTCAACATTTGGTCAAACCGTTGGTCAACGGTGTTGCATGGTATTGAGTTGACGTTCCTTGACAACAGACAGACAGCGGTGTCGCGGGCACGCATTTGGAGTCGTTGTTTAGTGAAACAGCTATCTTGCATGTCCGATGATGGTGGTGTGGTTGCCTTGCATGAACGGAGGCCTTCCGTCTTCGCTCCTCAACACAAACCCGCGCTCAAACGCTGTTTCAATTAATATATGGCAGCTCTTCTTTTCTTGCATGTTTGCATGAGTTAGTGGCGATGTTAAATGTGTATGTTCTATGCCTTTTTAAGGTCCCGCGGGACCATTAAGCTGTGCTTTGGACGGTCCCCGGTTAACGGTGACATCTGAATGGGCAGTATTAAGGGGATCGGGTTCCTTGTAAAGCGTGGATGGGCGTCCTGAGTTAGTTGTGTGCACGCACCGGTCCCGGCCGACACGGTTCCCGCTCGGCATGATAAGAGACGGGGGCGAGCATAGCGTTTGATGTGGTTGTCGTACGGATGTCCAAGCTTGACGGTACAGAGTCACAGTACAGTACAGCATAAAGTGTCCCGTCGTGAGGTTTAGACCCCCACATGTACGTTTGAACATTGTTACTGGTATGAACGGCAATCCTAGTGTTGAGCAGAAGTAAATTAGGCATGCGAAGATGATCTCTGGTTTTGGTACGGCAGTGGATATGGGGAGGCTTGGTCTTGGTCGGCTGCACGGGAGCAGTTGGGTTCTGGGTACGTGCTCTTGAAGGTGGTTGTGAGTCCTCAACACCACCTCACGTGAGCGTGTCTTCTTATGTGGAAGCTCCTGAAGTGTAATGAACGAGCTGCTAAGCTTCAATGCACTTCAGTAGACACGGGTGCCACAGCATGGATATGCAGTATCGCTATATCTTGAGCAGCTCGAGCAGCCAATTTATATTAGCCCGCGTTAGCGGAGCCTGAACGGAGTAGTAAGGGCACGTGGGCAAGCCCCGTCACGTCTCAAGAACCCCGTCACGTCTCAATTCCAAACGCAACACAGGAGTTCGAGGTAGTTCAGCGGGAGCTGAGACCTCCCCCATGTCCCCCCCAAGGGAATCCAACAACCATCATCATCACCAGCGGCCCCGCCGACGGCAGCAGCAGCAGCGACGGTCCCCCCCGGGCAGCAGCGACGGTCCCCCCCGGGCAGCAGCAGCCTGCAGAGCAACGAACCAACGCAGACACACCAGACACCATTATAGCCTGGTTAGGCCACCGCGTGTGTGGATTGCGTTAGGTAAGAAGCGTTCCCCGTTGCGGGGGCAGCTCCCAGCATTGCTGTGACCCACTCCCACTTCCGCTCACCCTTTGCGCTTGCCAGCGCTCTGCCCCGCCCGCCCGCCCGCCCCTACCATGCTGTAGGAGCTCACGAGCTAATGTGCGTAGCGGTGGTGGCTTGGTGGGGCACCCCGGGGTAGACGGCGCGGTGGTGATGGCGTCTGTTGAAGACGAGGCGGTAGCACCGGCGGGTGTACGTGTGACGTGTGTTGAAACAACTGGCCGTGACAGGTAATGGAGGGAGGCGTGTGGCGGCCGTGTTGCGGCACACGGTGCCTGCGCTGGCGGCGGGAGGAATGGAGCACACGCGGGCGGCCGGACGAGCTCCTGGTCGACCCGCCTGGCACACCCCAGCAGGGCGCCCAGCGCCCCCTCAGCACTGCTGGAAACCAAGAGGAGGACGCCGACGCAGCAGCGTTCCAAACCGCATGCAAACGATAGGGCCCGGCTAGGCTGAATGCTCGCCGTACGGAAAGGGCCTTAAGTGGCGAAGACGACTGGATCCGTCTGCAGATGTCGCGGGTACGGTACGTGAGCCCCCAGGCTCATCAGGACGCGCAGCAGCAGATGCAGCATGCGCGGTTGCCGTCCTCCTCCTCCTGCTGCTGAACCCGCTGCAGGGGCGGACCGGCGGGGCCCAGGCCTGGCAGCCCCTGTTCCAGCACCCGCCTGGGGTGGGGAAAAACAGATGCGAAGTGCAGCAGCAGGGGTGGGAACTGGGAAGGCGGTGAGGGGAAGGCGCAGGGGGTGAGGCGCGCGGCAGCCACGCAGGCAGCAGGGAACAGCAGGTAGGGCAAAATGGAAAGAACTGGGGTTGGTGTGCGTGAGGTCAAAAACAACCAAGCGCGTGTGGGATGCGCACGGTAGCGGTGGCTAGGCGATCCATCCATAGACCCGGCAGTGGGACAGTCCCCAGCGGCCTAGCCTGTGCCCCTGGCATTGCCCTTTTGATTCCCCTGTCCGGAAGGGGGCTGTGTTCAGCCGCTCCCACCTGTTCCACGCCACCACCACAGCGGGCAGCTGCTGTGCGGGCAGCCGGCCAGCGCCGTCAGCTCCGAAAGCGACCAGCACGGGCGTCAGCTGAGTGGGGGGATGGGAGGTGGGAGGCGCGAGGAAGCAGGGCGATGATTCACCACGCGTGCAGGTAACGGGAAAGGGATGTACACAGCTAGGAATATGGGTTACTCAAACGGCTGAGGAGCCAACCATAGGCGTGGGGCGTAGCGGAGTATCCCGCGCCGGACAGGGTTCTGCTGGGTCCCGCAAGGGAAGCAGCGGGAGGTATGGTACCTACCTCATTAACGCTAGGAGGAGTGCCACCGTTGAGGTCTTTCAACAGCGAAGCAACCTCGTGTGATGCCAGGACTTGCTGCTGATGAGGATCTACCGGTGGGAGGTAACAGCTTGGGATGCCGACATTGGCGGTGGTAGTACCCATGATGTTCGTGGTAACAGCAGGTGGTGGGACGGGAACCTGGGACAGGAATTGGCATCAACTGACGAATATATCCAACAAGCAGGATCAACCATTGGTTTCGGTAGTGCCATACAGGAAAGAAGTGCTGAGCGCTGGATGTTGGAGTGGTCAGAAAGAGTGACTTTGTTGCCAGAGATAGACGCTCATTACTATGATTACCGAGTTGACTTAGTTGGGAGCCTGCCCTTGCATATGGCTTAGGTTAGACCGCCGGACCTGCTGTATACGCTGACTGCTGCACGGAAGGCCCGGCTGTTGTCGCTGCTCTAGCCACTGCCGACGCCTCTGCTGCCGTTCAGCACGCTCTTGAGCCTGACGTGTAAGCACAGCCCGTTTGCGCTCTTTTGCACGAGCCACTGCACCAGCAATGCCCCCTTCCATGCGAGAAGAGTAGTCGACGCCTAGCTCTGGTGTATGATATGACAAATTAGCAGCCATTATGAGATAAAAAGAGAATACCAAACAAATTTCAATCGTAGTGAACAGTCCACTGTTTGTAGAAGTCCACAGTACTGTCGAGGCTAAACACGATACACAAAGTCATACAGCAATATTTGCAGGTGAATTCTGTACCGAAAAGAATATCGGTAAGCAAATAACGTATGCTGCTCATACTTCGAGGCTATACCGTCTACCCAACTATAGTAGTACAACAGCGAGCGTACGACGGACAGGGCACAACCGAACTGTGCTGCACTCAGCGCCACGATCAGCATCGGGCCTTGTGTAGGCCAGGAAGACAAGTACAACGTCCGCAACCGCCCCTGTTAATGCAACCATATGAGCGGAAGCCCCTACTCAGAACACCTGCACACGCAGGCCGCAGCTAGTCAAGCGCTGAACGACCTGGACCCCCCCCTGCAACTTTCTGGCATTTCGAAGAGTCTGAATGCACACTCATGGTAATGAAAAAATATCAAAAAGAACACCCTACGCTGTTTAACACGAAGCCACTCCCACAAGCTGACGTCTTCGATACTAGATGCCGTCCTAAGCACACGTCCTAGAGGGGCCCGACGCTGCCTCCTCATATGCCTGTTTCCCACGCACCGCGCCCTCTCCGGTCATTGCGCCTCCCTGTCCTCCTGCTTCTCCAATACCCTCCAATACCCACCTCGACTCAAACAAACAACCGCCAAACAATTAACAATCAGTCACCATCCCTCTTATGTACAAGTAAGAAGCTCCGCAAAGCACACACACACACTCCAAGGCTACGTTCCGACTCGCGGCCAGCTTCCTTACCACTCCTCAAGGCTCCCAAGTTCCTCCGCCACACCTTCACGCCCTCGTCCTCCTCACCACCCGTTTCATATCCCCGCCAGCCGCTTAGCCGCCGCTGCTGCCGCACTGCTCTTGCTGGGTAGGGCGGGCACGAGCGAGTCCGCCTTGCGGCCCTTGGGCTTGCCGCGCGCTGGGGAACACGGCAACAAACAAACACGGGGACCTGAGTTTGCATGGGACGGCTAAGATAAGAGCGCTGAGGAAAGGCCGCCGGTTGTCCGTCTTGCGACAGTGCGCGGGAGTGCAGCCAGCCAAAGAAACCCTGAGAGGCAACCCTAAGCTCCTACCATGACACGCCCAGCAACCCACACCCCTGCTCCCTGTCCTGCAGCCACCCGAGCCCCCTGCCCCCTCCCCTTCCCCCTTGGCTGGCTGGCTGGCCCCCGCTACCCACCCATGTTCCGCAGCTGGCTGTTCTTGTTGACGTCGTTGATGCGCGAGTGCGTGGCCGCCACCTTGCCGTCCAAGCTCTCCAGCTCGCGGTTCTGGAGCGACAGCTCGTCGGTCATACCCTGGGGGGGGAGGGGGGGAGGGAGGGGAGGGCGGAAAAGAAGAATACCCAACGTGTTGATTGGTAACGACAGACTCTTTGACAAGTCCTAAGGGAAGGGGGGAGGGGAAGAGAAGGAGACAAGGATGACAGAGACAGGGGCGGGCATGAGACATGCGGACACCTTTTCCCTCTCCCCGCCGTCCCCTCCCTCCATCCGCTCCGCCCCAAAGCTCTCCCCACTCCTCGTCGCACATAACTGCTTGGCTTTCCCTCCCTGCCCCCATCACACCACACATTGGAATTTCATTTTCCCCCCACCTTGGCCCCCTCCAGCAGCTGCTCCAGCCCCGCATGGATCTGGTCGATCATGTCGTTCTGCTTCCGAGTCTCCTGGTGCAACCCCATCTCAACAGCGCCTGGAGCAGGGAGGGGGAGGGAGGGAAAGCAGTGTCAGCCCGCTTGTGTACGCCTTGCGGACACACACGCACGGACACGTTCGGGAGCAGCAACTTTGGGAAAGGCCTTATGTTTCGGGCCGCAGAGGCTGCCCTCCAGCTCCCTGCGCATGCATGCGCCCATGCATGCACCCCGCAGCGGCCAGCACTCACGGTGCTCCTCAGGCAGCCGGATGTCGGGGTCCCGCCAGCGCCCGCTACCGCCGCCGCCCCCGCCTCCGGAGCCGGAGCTGCCGCTGGCTCCGGAGCCCAAGCCCGCGCCCCCAGCGGTGCCCGCCTTGCCGCTGCCGCCCCGCGCCTTGTGGTTTTGCTGCTGTCCCCCCCCTGACGCCGGTACCTGTGTTTCCCCCCTGACGCATGCGGGTCGGAAGGGTGAGGAGTTGAGAAGGGCATTGGTTGGAGGCCACGATGGGGATGCGGGTAACGGCGAGGAGAAGATGATTAGGGTAGCGGGACCCAAAGCAGCAAGCGGTCAAATTGTCGCAACCTTCGCCAGCCTCGAGGTACAGGACAGCAGCGCGCCGTCCTCATCAAAACATCAGTTTCCTTCCTTTCCGCAGTCCTCATGTACCTTCACAGTTACCCCTCTCCTTTCCCTGCCCTGTTGCTCTCCCTCCCTCCCTCCCTCCCTCCGCGCATGGTCTGCCCACCTGTCTACCCTGCGCCTCCAATCCCGCTTGCGCTGGTCCTCCGGGTCAGCTCCCGTGCACGAGTCGCACAGCCAGCAGCAGCAGCACCGCCGCATGTAGCTCAGCAGCTTCTCAGCGTACGACAGCTCGGCGTTCATCTGCCGTACAAGATGGCGTACACGGTAGAAGACACGGTATGTGGGGAGGAGGGAGGAAAACGGAAGAGGAGGCATGACGGAGGAAGGAGAGGGACGTCGCAAAGAGGAGGTAGAAGAAGGAAAGGTGTGTCGGTTTAAGGAAGCGTAGCAGAGCCAGGGTATTTGCTATTTACACATCTATAACGGCTCCTGTCTCACAACGCCATGCCCCAGGACCAGAAACCGTTGAGGCTTACGATGAGCACTTACATCGTCCATTTTATGGCCGATGTCGTACATCGTCTTGTTCTGCGCCTCCAGCTGTCGCATAGTCTCCGCTTGAATCTGCTTAGATTCATGTACAACCTGTGCATGTACGACACTCAAGACATGTACGACTTTTTTTTGTACGGCAAGGCTTCGGGTAACCATTTGATACTGCCATGCGTCATGCAATAATCCATGAGCCCCAGCAAGAGAGGCATGGCGGAGAAGGATAAGTGCATGAAAAGCAGAACAAAATCCAGGCTTTCAGCCCCAAACCTCCAGTGCTTGTGGTCCGTGGTTGCGGGGCCGCCATCTTGTGAGTGCCCATACCCCCTGCACTCCCCCCCTTTACGTGTAAAGGAAGCGCACTCCGACCCCGCATGAAGGGCCCGGCGCATCCCAAGTCCTGGGTCGATGAGCTTTCAGCCGTACCTTGAGCGCTCGTTGCGCCACAGCCGTGGTGTCCTTATGCGTGCGCACCGCTGTGTCGACTAGCTGGTCGACTGTTTGATCTTCAAGCGGGGCTTCAGAGGGATTAATGTTTACTTCTTCCCTGCCAGCGAAGAGCTCATTCCGCGCCTGTTGCTCCTCCTGCCTCTCGGCCAACACCGTCGCTGCGGTCTTACGCATAGCGACGGCGGCCTGGGCCAATGTCCCGAAAGACGCAGACCTCGGCGCAAGGGGGCAGCCAAAGATTTGGACAAAGGTTCGACGAATTCAAGTGCGGGACTGCGGTGGTTTGACAGGTTTTAAGACTTTATGGTGTGGCAAGGAATATAATCAAACGTTCATCCTCACTTGGATATTGGGAAAGGTATAAGGAGGAGGAGAAAGGAGAAGGACCTTACAATGCTAACATGCAGGCACAGCCTGGATAACGCTACACGCAGACAGCTGTCTTCAGTAACATTAGGAATGGCTACTGAAACACATTTGGGGTTGAAACGTGCTGCATGGGCTGATGCGCGGTCGATGATTGCTGCACGGCCGGACGCGTGCATGGGCCGTCCTGAAGGGAAGAAGTCAACGCCCGCCGTATTCAACATATACATAGTAGGCTAGTTTAAGGAAGTAATTGGTAGCCCGGAAGGGATAGTGTTGATAGCTGCCAATCGCCTACACAACACTTTAGCAAAATGGCGTTGCGGTTGCTAGGCCGCCAGCTTCGTGGCCTGAACCTCGTTCCAGCTGTGCAGCCAGCTCGCTTTTTCGGTGCGTGCGCACACCACGACGATGAGCACGAGGAGGAGCACGGCCCTGCTCAGACCCCCACTGTTTTCGATAAGCTGGTCGAGGTGACCGTTGTGGACATGAATGGCGTGCTCCACAAGGTCCGGGGCCTTTCTGGGCAGAGCTTGGCGCAGGCGCTCATCGAGTATGGCTTCCCGGCGACCTATTTCTTCCCAAACATGGGCTTCTACACTCAACACATTCCGGATGCTCACGTTTACATTCCTAAGGACTACTGGGCCAAGATGCCGAACATTGATCCTGAGAGCGAGGAGGGTGGCGCTGTGAAGCGCATGTTCCGCGACATCGTGCAGGACTACCAGCGCGATACCTCCTACTTCGCTTCCTATATCACCCTTGCACCCGAGCTGAACGGCATGACTGTGGGCATTGGTCCCATCAAGCCCTGGATCCTCCACTCGGAGTGGGCCTTCGCTGGCGTGCACGACAGCAAAGCAAAGCAGTTCGACAAGCCCACCGTGGAGATTTGGGGGTGAGGGGCAAAGCTTAACCAGCGCAGCATCTTTTGCGCAGCAGCTCGTTTCCGTGGAGGAAGCGTTGGTGGGTGTTTCGTGCTGTCGGATGGTGGCTCCTGCGGCTAGCTTATTGGACTTTAGTAAGGTGGGGTTGAAGGGATTACGATAGATAGGTTTGGCGCGCGAAGCACGGTTCGGTGCCGGGTTGTCGGATATGCGGAATGGTAGATGCGGGTCTGGTTTAGCAGGGTGTGAAGCTTGGTTTCGGTGTGGTACGGCGCGTGAAGAAAGAAGCGGCTTTGGAAGTGGCCCCCTGTTGTCCCCCCCTCCGGCCAGGCTCGTAGTGCTTAGGCAGGACTCTTGGCTCTTGGCTGGGACAAAGCGAAGTGTCTCGGGCGGCTTCCTCCGCTCAGTGGTGTTGGACATACATCTGTTGTGGTGTACCTCCTTGTAACGCTAACACGTGGCGCTAATACATGCTTACAACAGGCTACACGACTGCAGCTGACGTGCCGCAGACAGGGCTGAGACCTTTTTGCCATCCGGACTTCTTATCCTGCATGCAGCAATTGTAGGAAGAAGGTCCATTACCAAACCAGGCCTGGAGTGCCCCAGTCGCTGCAGCTTTTAGGACACACACCAAACATATTGGCCCGGTCTTGGAGGCTGTCAGATAGGGGTACTGTGCCAACAAACTCTTTTGCAAGGGAGGTTGCCAAGCTGCTACGGCCGCATGATGGCAAGTAAGGTATGCGCTGGTCAGGTGGAGCGAGAAACGCCTGGCATGTGATTTGGGTGCACTACACAACATCTACGGGGTTACTCGGCGCATTGGCAACACAACATATAATTGTCTTACCAAGGTTAGGCCATACACACGAGTTTCCACAGCCCTCTGTACATCCCCAGCAGGCTGAAACCTTAGTACCTTACATTACTGTGTACCGCATGCAAGTCCAGCACTGCCGGAATGCGTAGGAATGACACTAATTGCACTAGAAATTGCACTGCCGAGCACCGCGCACGCGCTGCATGAGATCCATTACTTGGCTTAGCTAGCTACACGCTCGGCCTGGGCGGGTCGGGCTGGCTCACCTGTTGCAAACCATGTTGACGCCTTATCCCTCAGTCAGTTATTTCCTCTTTAGCCTTTACCCCCCCCCCCAGCACGGCCGCCAGCTTATGGAGCTTTATCACGGTTTGTACTTTGTGTGCTGCTACTTACCCAACGAATTTGACTATGCGCAATCCTAAAATCCAGCTTAATGCGGAATCTTCATCCATATTACCCCCAGTCGTCATCCAGTTCGTCAGTTTTCCTTAGTATTTTTACCCCCCCCCCACTTTTGTGCGCCTAGGTACGTGTCTTCTCATGTGTCAGTCCCTGTATTGCGTGCTCGTGTTGAGCGGTTCCTGTTGATTGCTTATGCCCGACGGCGCGGTGGGTCTCCAGCTCACCTTCAGCCGCCTGCACGTACGCCCACGACTACGGTAAGGTTGCTCCGTAATTGGTAAGTTAGGTAAGCTTGATAAGCTCGCAATGCTTCAACCATCATATCGGCCCAACTCACGGTTTTTTCTATCACACCACACATTGGAATTTCTTTTTCCCCCTTCAAAACCAGAGTCGGCTCTGTAAACCTGTGGTGTAAAAAGGGCACCCTGGGAAGAGCCTGGTAGGGTGCTGCTAAACTGCGGCCAAGAAAGAGTCCAGCCACGGTGGGATACGGTTCTAAAAGCTTGACTTTACTTACAACCATGATGTACGGTGAGATCCAAAGAAATTGATATTGATCAAACAGGGAAAGTACCTAGCGCACTTTCAAACGTAGCACATCTCCTGTACGGAAGAGCTATTATACACCGCGAAGCGAACTGGGAAGAATGTCCTGTCGTGCGCACCTTCTTTGCCAATTTTCCGGCTTCCATCCGCAATGTACATGTCGACGGGAACACCGAACAATGCGACATCACAAACTGACACGAACATCACACACAACGACAAACCATTACTTCGGATTGTCAAGGCGTGCAACATATAACGGACCAGCGAAACGCCGCGAACAAAGACGACATCAACGGATACAAACCTACCAGCGAAGGCGCCCAGGGATTATCCCCTGCAGAATTTGCTGGTAAACCCATACCTAAATGCATGCCAGATATTAAACGACCCAGAACGCACACGCTTACTACCCCACCATGTCCAAGCAACGTATACACCCTGCCGCAAAACAGACCACGCTCACGCCACTACAGGCGGGATCGACTAGACGGGATTGAGTTTCCTTGAGACCACCGGGCAACTGCATTCAGGAGCCCAACAATTACCTGCCACACCCACGGCATCGTTTTCATATGTGTGCTGCTAAGCATGCGATGCGCGATGGGCGGGCAAGCCGCCAACACAACCACAAGACCGTGGCTTGTGTGCCACGGACTACAGGGCTTATTCTTGACTAGCCCACCCACCAAACAGGCTCTAGTCGGGCGCAATGTGCAGCATTATCGCAGGTAGCCTACCACCACCAACACGACGACAAAACGACGTCATGATTTCAACCAAACGCAACCGCAACGCGTTTAGATCCCAAAACATCAGAAGCACCACGCAAGCATACATTTCTGGAGCGGTGCTGCCGCCACGCAGTATGCCCGACATCGTACTGGCCTTCCCACCTGCTCGTCGTTGCCCGCCACTGCCAAGACAGAATCCAGAACTCTGCAGGTTAGCCGAGGGCAGCCCTCTGTTTGAAGTACAATATGCTGTTGCAGCGTCCTAAGACAACCATACTTGTGGCACTACTGTTGCTACATTGCATCACATCACGGAGGCTTCAAGGCCCAGTCAAGATCTACCCCTAAACCCCTCGCTCACACTCACCCTCATCTGCACATAATGACTTGTCCTGACAACAGGAGCGACACATATGCTCAAGAGTACACTCCCAATGCTGCGACAGCGCTCGGCATGCAAGGCACACCCTTGGCAAAGCCTGCTCTACATTACGTACACGGAAAATTTACCAAAACCTGGATACCAGATCTGTACTAGGCGTGAAGGCGCGCGAGCCCCATCGCAATGCTTGCTTGCCTCACGGCAAAAGCACTGTCTATTTGCATCCCTAAACCTGTAAAGAGACCCAAACAGCATTCCAGCCACCACGTCATGTACCCCACACTTTGCCGCGAACCAGTCTTCGGGGCGCAATCCTAATAATACTAGCTGCATGACACCATTCGGGGCCAGCGCGCGCCTTTGGTTAGGCATGGAGCGTCGGGACGCCTCCCTAAGACCGAACGGCAATGATACAAGAATGCCGCTTAGAAGCGCGGGCAGGACATTGCCATGCAACTGGCAATGTCGATGGCGGACTGCCGCCAGCGGCCCGACTGCAGCGCGGCCTTGATTTGGTCCCGTACGACATCCATGAACTGCGCCCACTGGTCCTCCGTCATGCCGCTAAAGCATGCACTCATGCGCTCTGGGCTGAACGCCGCAACCGGCGGGGGGTACACCTGCGGCGCAATGCGGCCTCCCTTGGGGCAGGTCAACGCGCCGCCCTTGCCCGCAGTGGCGCGCTTGGCGGCCTGCTGGCTCTTGAGCTTGCGCCACAGAAAGCCGTCAGTCACGTGCACAGAGCTCGCCATGGGGGCCGGACGGTCGACGCCGTTGCTGATCGCCATGGAGCTGCAAGCCAGCGCAGGGACGGGGCTGTTGCTGGCGCCCTCGGCTGTGTAGCCGTTCAGCATGCCCGACGATGCCACGGATTCCGTCGGAGGAAGGCTCGACAGGCTGGAGCATGGCGAGTAGTCAGGGCTGGACACGACCGGGTCGTGAACGCCGACGCCGTTGCCAGCGGCAGCAGCCTGGCGCTTGGTCTTGAACGGGACGCCTGCAAATGGCAGACCGGCCACAGCAACCGTCAAAACACTGCTCCTTCTAGGGGTGCAGACAAGCTCTACATGCACTGGAAGGTCGTACACAAACGACTCTTAGAAGAAGAAGAAGTTAGTGCTGCATGCCGCTGATGTTCATACGAAATCTACCGTAGTACACGCCCATCCCGTACCTGTGCCAGAGTCAACATCCAGCTCAAACAGCATGTCCTCGCCCTCCTCCTTAATGCTCGTAATCGTGGTGCCCCGCAGCTGCAGCGCGCAGATGCCCTCCGGTGCCTCGTTCATGAGCTCCTCCTCCTCCAGCAGCAGCTCTTCGGCCGCTGCCTCCGAGCCGCTCTCGCAAATCTCATCAACCTCGCTCTCGCCACACTGCTTCATTTCTTGGGTATACTGCAGGACGGACAAGGAAGAGGAAAAAGCTATAAAGCACTTGCACACCGAGTGTAAGGGCTCCTGAAAAGCACAGGCGTCGATCTGGGTCAACGAGTATTACCCTGAGAAACCCACGTTCCACCGCAAGGTGAAGCCAGCACACTGAACACGCATTCAGGCACTCCCGCACAAGCACGGCACGCGCAAGCCAAACATTCCTTCAAGCCGTACCTCGACGCACTGGCGTGCGTAGGCACACATGCGCTCCAGCTCACTCGGCTCCTCGTCAGAATCCAGGAAGGGACGGGTCATTACACTCGCGATGTCGAAAAGGGTCAGGCCCTCCGCGGCGCAGGTCTTGAGCAGCGTGGTGCAAACCTCCAGCACGCGAAGGCACTCGGGGCGGAGCATGGGCAGCTCCTGGCGCAGAATGTTCTTGTCACGCTGCAGGACACGAGGACAGGAAACCCGACAATATCTTGAGCTTGTTGCAGTGCGCTGCATGGTCTATCAGTATAACCAGTGTAACGTGGATTGGTAGACCCACAGCGTCTATCAATACCGAATATCCATTATGCGAAACAATACTTGGATGAATACCTGACCCATATGGGCAAAATTCCCATAGCCTCCTCACCTCAATATCCAGATCCCTAATGTACTGCAGCTCCTCGTCGCTAAACGGCAGCATTGTCTGCGGCCAGTGAAGCCACTCGAAGTACGGCGCCTCCAACGTCTCCGGCAGGCAGAAGCCGTGGTCAATTGGAATGAGCTCGTAGGGAGCATCAGACGAAACCATGCGGCTCTTGAGGTCCGCGGTGGAGGCAGACGCGGTGCGCGGAGTGCGCACGAGCATGTTGCCAGCGTGCCGGTCGGTGTTGAACAGGCGCACGTCCAAAATGCCGATGCGGTGCACATCGCGGGCGCTAAAGCGGCCCGGTCCCATCTCGCTAGTGTCGCATTCATGGGTCACGAACTCTTGCAGGGAGCCAAGCTTCATGGGCAGCGGGCTCGCCGACGAGGCCGGCGAGGCGCAGGTGTCGCCAGCATCAGCAGCGAGCTCCAGGTTTCCTTGGCTTGTCGTGCGGCTGACGCTAACGGCGGCCGTATTGGCAGTGGAAGCCCCGTTGGCCGTGTGCGTGGATGTGCTATTGGACTGGTAGCAGAAGATCGGGTGGCGCGCGCGCACCAGAACGCTAGTCGGCACACGCGCCCAGCCATCGTGGTCCAGCAGATAGGCCGCAACCTCACGGATGGCAGCCTCGCCCACGCGCACAGTCGGCTTCCAGCCGGGGTCGCCCAGCTGGCGGCCGACGTAGCCCTTGGGGTTGTTCGGGGCCAGCGGCTCCTCGTCGCAGGGCTTAAGGATAGCAGCCTTCTTGCCGGCATCATTTGAGAAGAAATAAGTACCACCCATGCCGTCAACCGCCTTGTCGGGCTCCTGGCATGCGCGGATGCCCCGGATAACAGACTTGATCAAGCGGCGGACGGATGGGGAAGTATGAGCGGTGCAGCAAACTTCAATCTTGCAATCACGGTTGAATATGCTGTCGAGGTCCTCAGACTGCGGAGAGAGCGGAGAGAGAAGGACGGCAAAGCGGGGCGTAAGGTTGGAGGGGTACGACACGGTAACGGGAGAACTACGACAATACTAGCATACGACCTTGCATGCACTTCGTGTCCTCCTCGTCCTTGCTCACCCCTGCCCAGCCACGCTCATCCTGGCCTACATGCGCAGGCAGATCCAAACCAACAACGTACACAATTTCGCAGGCATATATCATCCGGTGCTCGAAAACCCCAGAGCACGCACCGCGGTCTTCGGTCCAAGCACGCCACTGCAGCCGCTCGTCTCGCTGAACTCCAGAAGCCCCTTCCAGCCCACCGATGCCGGGATTTCCGAAGGACCGGTGGAAAGGGCGCTCACAAGCTCAGCCGACACGCCAGCAAGCTTGTGCGACGGGGCGCTGGACGCAAAGCCGCTGCCAAACGACACGTGGGGGGTTACGGAAGCGCGCTGCAGCAGCAGGCCATGATGAGCGTCGACCCCCTCTGCAGGATGAGGAGGGATTGACGACAGCTTTGGCTGCTGCTGCGACGGCGTCATGAACGAGCTGGAACTGCTGGGGACGACCACATGGGCAGGCGTCGATGGCGGAGCGTGCTGCATCGGCAGCTCAAACCCGCCTTGGACACGGAAGCCGACTGTGGTCGGGAAAGCCCGAGGGTGCTCCACGGCAACGTTCGACTACAACGGACGGAGGTGCAAGCGGGCATGGGGAGGCCAGCGCGTTACAAAAGGGCAAATAAAGGAGAATACTGTTCGCATAGCACAGGAATTTGTGACAATAGAAAATGGAAGAGATAATTGATTCTGTTTGACGCGCTGGTAAAGATTACAACCCATATCAACATACCACAAAGCGGATAGCTTATAAAGAGTCAGCGCAGGACCTACCATCCCTGCTGGTTTGTTGGGAGCAAAGAAGCCGATGAGCAAGCTGTAAGCCCAGACCTGTAAAAGGGAAAAACGGGCAACCGTGAACATGACAGGGCGTCGAGCAGCAATACTCTTCCAAGGCGGACCCAGCTTGTCAAGGCTTCCAGGAGCAGCTTGCAGTATGCATACAACATAGGGTCTTGTTGTGATACAAGACAGAGAAGAAGGAAAGCTCAAAGGCAATGAACGCACATCCAACGGGGGACACCTGGGCAAATCCCCAAAACATTTTCTAAGGTACCATGACTTGATAAGACCTTTACCTAAACAAGCAGGAGCGCGGCAAAAGGCCCGCTGCTCGCACCAACAGGTGGGCCTACGTGGTGCGACTAGAGGCAGCTTCTCGATCACTTACCGCGACAAACTGCGACGCACGGCGTCCACTACGGAAGCGTTGAGGGTGCTCGCGGTCATGCAGTCATCCACGTAGCTGGAAAACGACAGGGCTTTGGGCAAGGGCTCTTATGCGCAGCAGGTTCCCGAGAACAGCGGATTCTCAAGGGCAATATCCCAATGGACTGTATACGTTATAGTTGAAGCATGGTGAAAGCAGGACTACTGTAGACTGGCCGAAGAGTATGTACCTTTGTACATAAGGCCCGCGAGGTTGGGGGTGCGAAGGCCAGGCGTTCGAGAGTTGTCAATGCTCAACGAGTAACTTGAATAATTTGTCGTAATATAACCCGCGGAAAAGTTTTTCGAGAGGTGTGCGGCAGAGTCGTTGAGCGAAAAGAAGGCTCTCGAGACAGTCGGGGCAGGCAGTTGAAGCCATTACGCGATCAGCCGTTTACTTTATACATGTATAAATTAGTGACTGTGACATGTTCTCGTGCTGACTTGACTCCTAGAGACTCGACACGACCCGACTGCCCTGTCAGATCCCGAAGGCAGTTGGAAGTCTGCTACTTATGCAACTGCCGATGAGTATTCGATCTGACAGTAGTGAGACAAAAAGCAAGGTTGGCTGCCTCCGACTGCTTCAACGATAAGCACAGCCCAGCGCACAGCTCAATAACATGGGTGTACTTGCAGCTGCAAGGGTTCACCGTCGTCTACAGACGTCGGCGGCGCGTATTAATGACCAGTTATCCGCAACCCTAGCATCCCCCATTTGGGGTGTAGCGCCGTATCGGCTGAAGCCTCAGGTACATGTCCTCCCACGCCTTTCTTGCCGGCTTGCACTTATGCTTCCATGCATTGCGGATCACCGGCTCATCATGACATCCCACTCGGGTGATCGATGATCCAAAGCCAGAACCTGCAATCGCAGCAGCCATTCAGGGAACATGCGTGGGTAGGGTTTCATAAGTTAGCCAGGGTTACCGAGGCTAGCTGTACGGGCGGTAGCGCCCACTGGAGGAAGAACAGATGACATAGCTCCAGTTTCTGTACGCATTCCCCGCAAACGGTGCGGTTTTCAAGCGACTTGACCTGAGCAAAGCTGCAACATACAGGTAGTTGCCCGCCCTTTAGCCTCGCCATAGGACCGAATAAAACCGCCCCCCGTCCACCTGCACCAGCCAGTAGGCCACGAGGTCGCTCTCGCCGCGCCGCATGTGCGCAGTCGCCATCACACGCGCCAGCTGGCACCACAGCTCCGGCGGGCCGCTGGGCAGCAACCCGGCCAGCGACGCAACCTGGAGGGGGGAGGGAAGGTGACCCGTGGGTCATACGGCAGCGGCGGTGGTGGCAGCGACTTTGGACCTTGAAGTTTCAGCAGTGACGGATCTAATGGTGTCAAGGGGCAACAAGGAATTCCCGTTAATCTGGTTAAACACGGGCGATACGTGACCCAGATGCAGCGGAGGGCAGCACTCGCACGGAGCCATGCTGCCATGTAACAGCGCACCGCCACCGTAGGCACACACTCGGCCTCAATCCTCGGTCTCCTCTGCATGGCATGCATCTGGGTCAGCCCATGCCGCATCCCCACGTGCCTCCTTCCTCTAGGATTTCTGTCTGCGGTCGCATGCTCCAACCCCACATGTCCGTTCCGCACGCCCGTGTTACCTACCGTACACACATTCACCCGGCCCTTACCGGCAAGTCCACGTATCTGCTGCGCGCCTCCACAGGCGTCAGCACCCGGCCCCGCCTGTCCACATCCACGAACAGGACCGGCTCCGAAACCCCGTCGGCTCCAGCGCTCCCCCCAGTAACGTCCCCGACAGCTGCAGCGGCCCTGTCCTCTTCACTAGTCGAACCGGCAGCAGTTGTAGCAGCCACAAGCCACACGTCTAGCGGCGGCGCAAGCGCCACGGTACGACCCGCTTGACGTACCGCCACCTCGGGAGGGAGGCCGTGTAACGACGCAGGTCCTGCGGGAGGAGGTCAAGTGGGAGGGGCGGCGCGAGGGGTTGTTTCAAGGCTCTGCCGAGCTTCGGACTTAAGCAGAAGGCGGTGGGTATCGTAGGATCGTAGACATGGAGGCCCCTCCCCGCCCCATCCCGGGGCCCCCCGTCGCATGCCCACACACCCGCACGCACCTTCCGCCACCTGCGGCCCCTGCCGCCCCGTTGCCTGCACGGGCGCTGCCGGCAGCCCCAGCCGCCGAGCCACGCAGCAGTAGAGCGCAGCCAGGCTGAGGGGGATGCCGCGACGCAGCCGGAGCACCTGGGAGGGAGGAGGCGAGGGGGTGCGGCATGTATAGGCGGGGTTGGGCTTTGTCGATAGCAAAGCCGTAGGGGCATGCAAAGCAGGGTTGGGTAAGCCGCAGAGAAGCGGTTGAAGGGTAGAGTGCGCAGGAAGTGTGCGGGTCTGCGGGAGATGCGAGTGCGAAGGGTGAAGGGTGAAGGGCGGTGCTGGGGAAGGGCGCGCATCAAGCTTGCCTGCATGCAGCCACGTGCCCGCTCCGGCTGCCTTACCCCAGTTGGCTAAGCAACCAACCGACGCTCTAACCAACCAGTCACCCCAACCAACCAGTCATCTCAACCAACCAACCAACTCAAAACGACCGAAACAGAACGACCCACATGCGGAAGTAGCGCGGGGGCCAGTCCGTCGTACACCCACTCCACTGGCTCGTGCCGGAACCGCAGACGCTGGAACAGCACCTGGAATGGGCCGGGGGCGCGAAGGAGGGAGGAATGAATGGGGACGGACCAATAGGAGGTGGGGAGCGGAAGGTAAGAGAGGCGCTGGGCTGCTTGGGTACGTCTGTATGTGCAGGGCCCGAGTGCAGCGATTGCGAGGGTGCGCGGGCCTTATGCTTGACAAGGGACAGGCCCGTGTCATGGAGTAAGACCCAGGACATGCCCAGGCAGGCTGGCTCGCCGCCTGCGGGGACTCAACGCAGCCCTGATCGGCCCACATCGGCCCCCCAGGGACACATGGGCACAGACGTGTGAGTATGTAACCCCTCCCTCTTGCCAAAGCAAGGCGCCGCGCCCCCAGCTGATGCCTCCTGCACTCACCTGGCTGATGGCCTCGAGCCGGCGCCTTAGGAGATCCACATCACCGCAGCTCGCTACAGCGCCACCACCCTCGACTCCAACTCCCGCAGCGGCCGAAGAAAACAGCGGCCCGTGCTCCTGCATGACCAACGCCGCCAGCTCGTCCAGTTGTCGCCGTACAGAATCCGCCTCCTCATCCGTACTGCGCAATGGTGCGGGGAGCAGCCCCTCCCCCACCCACACCACCTTATCAATCCCATGCTTCTCCTTGGCTGCCGCTGCCGCTGCCTCCTGCTGCCGCTGCTGTTCCAGCCCAGCCTGCTGGCCCGTTCCTTCTCCCCCTTGCTTCCCCTCGCTCTCGCTCCCGGCAACCTCTTCAGCATCGAATTCCTGGAGGGCCAGGTGGTTGGCGTCGTACAACCGCTCAACCAACAGCGCTCCCTCCTCCAGAGCCGCTGCCAGCTCCGCCATCCTGGAAGCAGCCGGTCCGGTGTGGTACAGCCCAGAACTAAGGCTATTGCTGCTGCTGCGAGCGTCAGCATCCTTGGCGCTGTTAGCGGCGCCGTTGGCCACCTCAGCTGTGGTTTTAAGGGATGGTGAGGCGAGCTGCAGGTGGGGATGGAGGTGCGCAACCCGGCGGCGCCCGGCGGACCATGCCTCACATAGCTGGAACCAGTACCGGAGGGCCTGGTGGCGTACGGCAGCAGAGGAGCAGTTGCGAGTAGTCAGACTAGGGGCTACCGTACTCAGCGCGTACGGGGCTGCAGGGCATGCGTGTGCGTGTGATGAGGGCGGAGGAATCAAGGAAGACGGCGGTGCATGTCAGGTTACGTGGCATGTGGGTGTTGGTGTGAGGTAGTGTTTGCAGCTAACGCCGGTGGGGCGGCAACCCCCACCACATGCCGCAGCCACGAGGCAACATATCGGTACACAAGGCAACCTTGTTTGTCGTAACCTTGGCTCATACCTCACGTGTTTCTTCCTCGGTGCTCGTTAGCACCTGCAGCTGGCGTTGTGCCTGTCGCAAGGCGCGGAAACCTTCGCTCGCTGCCTTGACCTCATCTGCAATGGATGAGCGCCTAAAAGCGATGGCGACGTGGTATTGAAGGTCGAGCGCAGGAGGGGTATCAAAGCCCGCAATGCCGACGAGGGGGACTTGTTCGCGGCGACAGTTGCGATGAACCCTATGCAGCAAGCGGTACAGGCTTTTGGCCACGTGAGACATAGGAGGGAACCAAATGGTTGGAATGATACCAACCCTGTTTGCATTGCATGCAAAAGGGTGCAGTGGACGTTGTGCGAGGTGAGTTGGCTCCGAGGGCGATCGGCCCCATTACTACCAGTACACGGCACACCTATCAAACCGCCTACGGAAACAAGGAAGTGTTTCATAGTGAAACTTACACTTTACTTTACGAGCTGCCCTGCGTTGCATACATTGGGTACCTTGTGCAGTTGATTGTTGAGGAACATCTCTGCTGACGGCTAAGAAGGGAAATAATGTCCTACATTCAGCGCGTTTGCCAGGTAGGTTGCTGAATATGCTCACTTTGCCTTAGGTTTATGTTATTTTGCAAGCAATAACGATGTCTGCGCACCGACACGGCAGAGCTCGTCGCTTCGACAAGCGGCGGCCGCATGGCGTACAGGTGAGGAAAGCAGTCGCTATATGTCTTCTGATTAAGCTGGCACGCCCTGCGTGTGCTGCCCTTGGCGTAGTGTCTCCAACATTTCGCAATCAGGCCTAAGTCAAACTCGCTGTCCTTGCCCGCTTGCCCACAGGTGTTACACAGCTGTCGGCCGCGCGTGTAGCTATGGTGGCATCTCAGCGGTTTGCTGCTGCTCCTACGTATAGCGCGGCCCCGGCTCCCGTTTCGGGCTTTTCCAGCAGCCCTACCATCTCCACGTCCTTCGCGGCGTCGGGAGTGCAGTCCACGTCTTCTTCCTGTAAGCTGCCTTGGAGGGCTTTAGCTATTGTATGGTCATATAATCATGCAGAGTAGTCGAACTCTCCTGGGTACTCGTGGGACCCTGCTGTACTCGGCGGTCGTTTTGGCCCCCACGAAACCTCCAATGAATTATGTGTCCATGAGCTTAAACTCACTTGCATTGACCTCCACTTGCCCTTGACACTTTGAAGCATATCGCTGTGCCTTCTAAGCGTGAGTCACAAAAGGGACTGTCCCCAGGCTTCTATGGTGCACGGCAGCCCCTGCTGCTACCTGACCCTGTGGTGTCGATCCTTCGCAGCGGGATACCACTTGCATTGGCTCCCATCTGTGACGTCCCCGGGCTGCTCCTAACCCCTGGTTCCCAGTTACCCCAGCGATTCTCCCCCTCAGCATGGGGGCCACACCCTGAACCCTTGTCCCGACGACTCTATTTCCCTATTGCCGGCCTTACAAACCGCGTCCTCTTGCCTGATTGCAGCCACCGCTGTGGAGGGCAGCGACTCCGGAGAGGCCGGTAACAGCCTCGGCGGCGCTTCCCACTCTGAGAAATTAAGCCATGGGAGCAAGTCTTTAAGGCGACGACGTAAACGGTTTTAGCATTCAATGTGTAGTATTTCAAACAACACGTACGGATGAAGCGACGAAGTAGGGATGGGCGAGGCAGCGGCATGGCATGGAGGGGTGCGTGTCGGTAAGTGTGTAACCCAGCCGGGGCACTTGCAAGGGGTAACACTTGTATGGAGGGGCCTGATTAGCGGCCTAAACGGCAATACGGTTGATGTTTATTCCATGCTTAATGCCTCGGACCACGCATGCGTGAAGCGGTGGTATTGAGGCATCATGTAGGGTTTTCCTGCTTAACATGTGCTGAAAGGGCGTCGAATTTGTTGCTGGTAAGCTAGTTTCCTGTGTAGGCTCCTTTACGTGACTGGAAACGATGCCGCATGCAAACCGGAACGCGACCCTGGGGGTTACTTCGTCGTGTACAGCAATGGAGCATAGCGCGTTGGTGGTAGGCACCCAGGCTGCTACAGTAGTATTGTAATGGCCCTGATCGGGTTGTTCGTTCTTGTGTAATGTTACCTGCAAGGTCAGACGAACACATGCCAACCCTCCGTTGCACAAGGCGCCGCTTGGATTGCATAAATTGGATGCACGATCGGAGCTGTGGCGTCCGGCCAGGGTACTTTCGCTTCCATGCTCATTACCGGTTACCCTGCAATCGTGCAGTAGGAAGCACGCCCTTCATGTGCCTGTTCATGTCTTGGATGCGAATGAGGGGCCTCCGCTCAAGCATTTCTAAGCAAACAGGGATTCACTGGAAGGAGATGGGTCAACAAGCAACAAAGCGCATTGCCTTACAAGTAACACAGCCTGTGCAGTTTACGGATGGTGGAGGCCCACCCCTACCAGGTTACATCACAGCATGCATATCAGCACAGGCATGCTACCCCACCTGCACGGCAATGACTACTCTTCCGGTGCAAATACAGTTCTAATAGTTTACATAGGCAGCCCCACCAACCACATGCACAGCTTACTTAGCGTGCTCCCCTGCCAATGAAGCTCGGACAAAACCATAAGCATCCTCTCACCCTCAACAAGACCAAAAAACCGCCGTACTAACCACCGTCTCTTCTCCGACCTTGTGTCCTACCCTATACGCCATACTCTCCTCCCAAAGCTTTCCCGCAAAGCGCATGCCCTTCCCTTCGTACCATTGCCAGCTCCCTCACCTTCTTTCTAGCCAGCAAAGTCGACCCCACATGCGCTGGTAAATTCGTTGTCCTCAATGCCTTATCGCTAAGGAATAGCCAGCGACGTCAAAATAACACGGCATTCTCTTCGACCTCCCGCCCACAGAGCTGCTGGCAAACCAGCAGGCCATTTCAGAGAACACTATGGGCTGGAAAGCAAGGAAAACAAAGGGATGCCCACAACTATATAACCCACATGACGCCGATAAATATCCCCGTCGCAAATCATCCTCGGGGAAAATAAATGAACGCGAATGGCGTCGATGTGCGAGTGCCACCAACCACACGAGCAACCAGCCGAAACCTTGAAGTACCCCAACCCCCCTTTTCGAACACGCAGCTGGCATCTCACCTCACAAGTCCCACGCGTCCCTTCACCTCAACGCACCAAAAACTCCCTTTAACGGTAACAGTAGCTCGCAAAGAGCATACAAACCAAGGTACGCGTACCCCAACAAGACACTTGCTGGCCTGTGTTTATGACGCTGTCCCGCAGCCCGTACCCTCTCGAGACAACACCCTACACCAGCGCCCAAGCGTAAAGGAACATCAAAAAGAGGCAAGCCAAGCCTACCGTGCTCCTATCGCACCGCATCAATATCACATCGAAAAGTACATGCAACGAGCCGACACGCCCATCAAGGGCTGTAGCAAGACATGTAGGGTTAAAAAGAATTTAAGTGTCATTTTGGCAGCCTGCTGATGGGATAAGGATACCCAATCCGTGCCACTGTACAAACATTTTTTGGGCTTTCCTTGGAACTTCTGCTATGCGCGGCAACGTAGTCTGAGCACCATAATCCTCCCAACCCGCCCTACCTACCGTACCTTTCGCATAAACCGGCACACGCACGGAAACCAGGCTTGGTACACGGTAACTCCTTGCCTTTACGTTACGCCCCGTGGAAACACACGAGCTCTATTGAAAACACTTCCCAAAGTACCGTACAAAGCATCACACTATGCGTATGCAATATAAATGAAAAAACGTGGCCACATGCGCTTCCCTTACCGCCCCACAGCCTCTCCTAAGAGCCTCAGCAAGTTACCAACTCAACGTCTTCCAAGATGTTCCCATCTCTGTTTACCGTTCTCGACACATGTGCTCTCATTAGTGCTTCCTGCTTTTCATAAGATCACCAGGACGGGCCGCCTGGCACAGTGCCCAGCAAACCTCCATGCAAGCCCGCTGTCTTTTCCTCATCGTGTTACCAAGCAAAGCGCTTGCCACAACTCAGCACCCGCCGGTTGTGTGCGGGGCCTCGAACCATGGCAGCACATGCGTTTGTTTGTCCAGCTCAAGCAGCGCCCCATCTCCCTGTCATTCCGTCACGTTCTTCGCAGACTCCGTCTCCGTCTCCGCACCCGCCAACGCCGCCGGCCCCGACCGCACGGCTGCAGCAGATCCCGCCGCCACCCCTACTGCTGCTGCAGCTGCTGCTGCTGCCGCCGTCGATCACACCTGTGCTCCCGCACCATCACCACCACCACCGCTGCCGCTAGAACCAGCGACCGCTCCGGCGGCGGCCAAACGCATCCTTGCGATCTGAGCCCGGACGGCTTCACCATCTGAAACAGCGGCGCGGCTGGCAGCACTGGCACCCGCGCCTCTGCCGCCGTCCTGTGCAGTCAGCAGGCCGCCCAGGGGGCCGGTGCTCCTGCCACCCAGAAGGCCGGGGGCCATCAGGGCCAGGGGCGAACTGAGGAAGGCCTTGACTTCCGAGCAATCGTGTGGCGGGCGCCAGAGGAAGGTCTGGGGGAGCAGGAGGGAAGGAGAGCCAAAGGGCCCAAGGAGGGGAGGCGCTGAGGAGCACTGGCGACTTGGCACTGGCTCTTGCTGGGTTCGGCATGCATGCGTAAACTCGGTATGCAGTGCGCCGTGCACTCCCCCCCCCATACCCCTCTACCTACGGTCAGGGTCAGTGTTTCCGCTACCCCCCCCCCCCTTTCCGACTTCCCCAGCAACACAGCACCACCTCCCCTTCCGCCGTCCTGCCCCGCCCCTCCCCTTCCTTTTTCTTTCCCCTCCCCTCCCTCCTTCCCCACCTGCATCTCCCCCTTGCCCTTGACCACGACCCCCCCCGTGGGCGTCCACTGCTCCCCCGGCAGCAGCTCCCGCGTGGCGCCGCTGGCGTGCACGGCGCCCGGCTCGCACGTGCTCTCCATGCGGCTGGCCGTGTTGACGGTGTCGCCGAACAGGCAGAACCGCGGCATCTTGCTGCCCACGATGCCGCTGGTGACGGGCCCGCTGTGCAGCCCCACGCGCATGCGCAGCGGCTGCCCGTCGTGCGGCATCACGTGCCGCGCCGCCTCCCGCAGCAGCGCCTTGGCGAACGACATCACCTTGAGCGCGTGCAGCCCGTCCTCCGCGCCGTCGCCGCGCACCGCCCGGAAGCCCTCGCAGTCCAGCGTGATGAGCCCGCCCACAGCCATGAAGCAGTCGCCGATGGTCTCAACCTGCGGGGACGGGGGAGCAGGGGAGGGGCAGGGAGGGGCGTGGTTGGGGCAAAGACATGGGAGCAGAAAATGTTGGGGAATGAACAGCACCCCCCCTGCCCCCCTCCCCCCCTCCCCGCCCACCTTGTACACTCCGTACACGTCGCACAGCGAGTCGAAGCGCGTGAAGAGGCCGTTGAGGAAGGTCATCACCTCCATCGGCTCCAGGCAGTTGCACATGGAGGTGAAGCCAACGATGTCGGCGAACAACACCGTCACGTGACGGTGGCAGGTGGCCAGGGGCAGCATCGCGCTGCTTACTGGTGCCGGCGCGAACGCCGCCATCGGCGCTGCCGCTGCTACCTGCGGCGGCGGCGGCGCTGACGGCCCCGCCCCACCTCCGCCTCCCTTGCCCGGACTGCTGCCCAGCGATACCAGGGCACAGCTGCTGCCCACACCTCCACCAAGAAAGACTCCGGCCATGGAGGTCGCGGCAGCGGCGGCGGCGGTGGTGGTTGTGGGCATGTCCAAGTCCTCGGATGCCAGGGTGGCGGAGCCGGTGTGGGCTGTCACCTCCTGGGTGGCGGGAGCACCCCGGGTGCAGGTGGCAGCAGCAGGCTCGGCAGGTGCAAGGCCCCGGGGCAATGTAAGCGACCCAAGTTGGCCATGGCTTGGACGTGACGGCACCCGTATGACGCCCCGGTTCATGGCTGCGGATACCGGGAAGCGTGCGGCTGCTGCTGCTGCCTCGGCGGCGGCGTCGGCGGCAGCAGCAGTGGTATTGTTTGTGGGGTCAGCATCAGTGGGGGCAGATTTCGGATGGCGGGGTGTGGCGGGGGGAGCGGACAGGCCGCTCTGGGCAGCGATGACGCGGGTCATGTGCTCGATGGCTTGCCGCGGGAAGATCGCCTCCAGAAGCTGCACGACAATAAAAGGGGCAGAAGAGGGGCCGGTGGTGTGGAGTGTGTACGGCGTCAAACAGTACTCTGCAGGTCTGTATTCGGCATGCAGCGCCAAGCTAGCGGTAACAGGTGGGGTGCATGACAAGACACGGCAACATTGCCTCGCAGCTTAGAGTTGCATGGAAGAAACGACATGACACTCAACGCACCTTGTGTTCGTGTGCAAGCAGCGTCTCTAGCCGGACCTGCCGCTCATACAGCTCAGCGACCTGAGTCTCCGCAGCCACAGCCGCCCGAACCAGCTCGTCCACATCGTACGACACAAGCTGCAGGTACGGCTCATGCTGCCAACGACGGAGCCGTACGGGCGCTGCAGCAGCTGTAGCATCCGCAGCTACAGCAGTAGCATCAGCAGCAGGGGCAGCGGCTCCCTCCGGGCCCTCCTCAATGCACGGGGGCATGATGAGTCGCAGTCGAACCTGCATGCATACAGGGATCAGTAAGATGTTACGTACAGTATAGCATAAGGCGTAAATGCGTGAACATGCTTTGCCCATGAGACGTCATCGCGCACATATCCCAAGCTGCGACCGTTCCCGTTTTCGCAAGCACGCATCCTCCCCATGCCTTACGACCCCCCCACTGACCCACCTGATGCCAGCGGGCCCCAGCAGCCCCAGCAGAAGTCCCAGGCTCAGTCGCATCCCCGCCTTCCTCCACGCCGCCGCCCACCGTCCCATGGGTCGCCACCCCCTCAAACCCGCTGCTTGCGATTGGCCTAGACGAGCACCCGGTGTCCTCACCGTTGGTAAGCGGAAAGTTTCCTGGGGCTAGGGCTCTGCCCTGCAAACCCGTCGGACCCAGATCACTCCTGGGGGCTAGCGTGGGGCCAGCAGCAGCAGCAGCCGTAGCCTCCCAAGGAGCAGGATGGCCAGTACCCGCGGCGTAGCGCGCTGGGGCCGCCGCCGCCGCCGCCGTCGGCTGAGCCGTGTCGTACACTCGGAGCAGCGTTTGCACGCGGCTGCGGGTGTCGGACCGGCGCACGAAGCGGTGCTCGTTAACCGCAACGTCCGGTCGTGAAACCCCCGCCTGGTTTTGAATGTTATTAGGCTGAGCAGCCGATTGCCCCGATTGACTCAATTGTTGTTGCTGACCACTTTGCTGAGCTGCGGCTGCTAGAGCAAAGGTGAAGGGTGACGCCTCTGCATCTACAAGCTCTGCAGCCGCGGCCGAGTTGGTAAATTTGCCGTACAAGTCTGCTGAGGCCTCCGCAGCGGTCGCGGCTCCGGCTATTGCGGCGTGCAATGAAGCAACCGTGGTAGCCGCTTCCAGTGCAGCCATCACAGCCGGCGAAGCCACCTGCTGACGCCATGGCAGGGACGGCTCCTGCTGCTCCTCATTCGGCGCCTGAGCCCATTCAGACAGCGTCTGCAACGTGGGTGAGTTCTCACCAGAGGAGGTCAGGCACCCCTCAGCCTCCCCCTCCGTTATCGACGGTGGCGGCACACCCACAGACGACACGGGGCTGCGGTGCCCCGACGCATCCAGCCGGCCCGCGGTGAGCAGTGGGACGCCGCTGGTGCCCGTGCCGCCTGCGTTGGGGGCCTCCATGGCAGGGCCTTGCGGGTCGGCAGGGGCCACGACAGCCGAGGACGATGCGGCTCTTGCGGTCGCTGCACCGTACAGCGCAGGAGCCGCCAACACATGGGGCGCTCCCAACCGCCTTCCCTCGCTGCCCCTGCCTGAGGCCCTTGCGCCCAGGATTTCAGGGTGCTGCAAGATCAAGGCATCAGCAACGGCGGCAGCAGCACCAACAGCAGACGACGGGCTTCCCCCTGCGCCCTGTGCCCATTCAAGGGCGCTGCTTCGCATGCCTGCCCCTTCACCGTCGGGCATGCGATAGCGCTGTGACGCAAACGGACCATTGCGTGGCTGGTACATGGAGGTCGCGCTGTCCAGGATTCGCCGTACAACCGGATCCAACAAGCCGCTGCTGCCCTCCTGGGCCAATGCGCTGTGGCCGCGGCCCCACGGCCGCTCAGAAGGATCGTTAACCTCCATGAGTGCATGGGACATGAGGATGTGTTGGTGGGAGCTGTCGCCAGCAGCTAGGGCCTCCACCTCCTCGGGAGTCAGGGTAAGGCGGTCTGGCAGCTCCAGCGGAGTGGCCGACGAGGAGAACAACGCTCTGGAGGAGCTGTCATAGCCGCTGTCGTAACCGTCATGGCGCATGTCTGCATGGGAACTAAGACCCCTAAGCTGGCTGCTGGCCGTTGGCAAGGCTGTATGCGGGCGCTGCTGCTGCTGGCCCTGCGCTGGCTGCCGCTCCTGCAATACCTCCTCCGGCTGCTGCGGGTGTTGCTGCCGCTGCGCCGCTTGGAAGTCGTGTGGGTGCGACCCCGCGGGCAATGACTGGGTTTCAACGCTGCTGGGCTGCACATTGCCATGCGTTGGGGAGTCCAGGGGGGTTTGCTGCTGCGCTTGCTGCAGCGGAGCAGGGTCAACCCGCAGCGGCACGGTAGCAGCTGTCACCGCGATTTCGTCACCCTGGTCGCCACCTACGCCGGCCTCCTCCGCTCTGGCAAATGGGCGTTGACCCAAATCGTGAGGGATTGCCTCCGGAGAATGATGTAAAGCTCCAGGAGTCGGCAAAAGAGTGAGTGCCCACGCGTCGAGCTGCGTTCAGTGAAGCGCAGTAAAGCGAGTTACATGTCGCACCTTGCCGCACCTTGAGTTTGAGCTGCGGCAACTCACCTTGGCGCACTCACGCTTCCGCTGTTCCAGAAGGCTGGAGAGGAGGAACCCGGCGTTTTGCGGTCCCAAAAGCGTCGACAAGAGCTCGCGGCGCGATGAAAGAGCAGTTTCAAGTGCACCGGAACTCAACTCATACAGTGTATCCTCGATGCTGCCGTCCTGAGGCGCTGGCGCCAAGTCGTGTATGGCCTACGACAGGTGTCAGACAAGCGTAACGACGCTTATTTGATAAGCCATTGCACTGGTTAAGGTATGAGTATATACCTCTTACCCATATTGCTCGGGCAGCTGGGCTTGAACACTTAAGTTCGCTGCGGGTTAGGAAAGCTAACACATTATCCTTCTGGTTGTCGTGACCTGCCCGCTCATCCAAAACTCAGATAAACAGTCTTACCCGGACAAAGCACCAATAACTACGACAATAGGTAGGGCATCGCTAAGAAGCGACTCTGACATGTTCCCGAAAAGCTGCAGTGTTCCGAAACCCCTAGTAGGCAGCCAAATTCAACATGCCTGTCCTAGACATTTCGTACTAAAGCAAAGCAGAAACGTGTTGCCAGCAATGGTTTTGATACTTTGCAGCCCAACTGACGCGCTAAGCGTAACACCTAGGCAGAACTCGGACCTAAAAATACTCCCATTCGTTTTTACTAGATTCAGAAAAATTGTACATCTCATTCAGTCAGTCTAGTCCAGACATACATCTATTCCGTACTGTTCCCAACCAACGTAAGCCTACCTAATGCGCGAGTAGCCAGCTTGAGTGATATACCAGATCTCCAGGCTGATGCTGAACTGGAGGCGGCGGCAGGTGTGTCGATCGGAGGTAATGGGCTCATTCAAGGCATGCCGAGCAGGCGCAGTAAGGACCCATCCAGCAACCCATTTGGGCAAGGTTTGGTCGAGCTGTGCCGCGAAACTGAACTGATTATCATGAATGGTCGTGTGCCCGGTGACATGGAGGGTGAGTTCACGTTCTACCACGCCCACGGCCTTGCCTGCAGTATGATTGATCTTTTTGTCTGCACGCCTGCTTTGTTCTCGCGGGCGTCGCATTTGCAAGTGCTTGGCATCCCCATTGCTATAGAGGGGCCTAAAGTGGGATCGAGGCTCAGCGATCACTGCCCGGTGTCACTCACTCTGGACGTTGGATCAGGAGGAACGCGAAGGGGTGGCAACACGGGATCCTCTCGCCTGGGGAAACGTGAGTGGGAGCGGTACACGCGCCTATTTGAGGTAGAAGATGCTGCTGTCGTACAGAAGATTGACGAGGCTGTTAGCCAACTGGGCCATGGTCTTAACAGTACGGAGGTTGTTACAGTGATCTGTCGGGCTCTTAAGAAGGCTATTGACGCCACGTTTCGTCTTGAGAGGAGGCAAGGGTCCATTCCTAGTGCAGGCAGGACGGACAAGGATGCGCCTTGGTGGACACCTGAGTGTGCGGAAGCCCGTGAGGCCATGTTTGCTCAAAAGGCGCTCATGCGTGCTAACGGTCTGCTGGGGGATCAGGATGCCAGAGCTGAGTTCAGTCGGTTGCGCACGAAGTATCAACGTCTACGCAGGGAGGCTAAGGACAAGTTCCGGGTCATGCATTTTGAAGGAGTTATCGAAGAATGTCGGGGGGATCCACGGGCGCTGTGGGGTCGGCTGAATGGCAGATTTAGTCAGGGGTGCCCTATCACGGATGTCAACAGTTGGGGAGCCTATTTTAATGCGCTGTTTAATGGGGAAGTCAACGCGTTTAACGAAGTTTCCGCGGACACCATCCTTAGTACCATCAACGGTGTGCCACATGGGAGGGGAAGAGGATGGGTAAGGGCGACAGGCGATCGGGTAGCACGAGTCACCGCTGCCGCTGCGCTCAATGTTCCGTTCACCTTGGCGGAAGTCATTGCTGCGCTGAAGTCTTTGCGTAATAACAAGTCTGGGGGTTTGGACAGAGTACCGGCTGAATGTTTCAAGTGTGCGACGAGAGAGGTTGAGGGTAGAAGGATGTTTGTTTTAGCCCCTTACCTGCTCAAGCTACTAGAGCATATCCGCAGCACGGGGGATTATCCTGTGCAGTTTGAGGTCTCTGCGCTCACGCCCATCCACAAAAAAGGCGATGTGATGGAGAAGGGTAACTATAGGGGTTTAGCAGTGGGTGGTGTTTTGTCTAAGCTTTATGCGTTTATGTTGGAGCACAGGCTGTCTCGTTGGGGCGAGCTGGTGGGAGCTAGGTCGCCGTATCAGGGAGGTTTCCGACGCAAGCGGGGTACCTGCCACAACCTGTTTTTGTTGCGACATCTGACGGACAAACATAAGGGGGGGCGAGATGCAGTTGACCCCCTGTTCGTTTGTCAGATTGACTTTGAGAAAGCGTTTGACAAGGTGCCACGTGATCTCTTGTGGTTAAGGTTGGAGGAACGGGGTGTGCATGGCGCTATGCTGGAGGCTCTCAAGACTTGTTACAACAAGGTCATGATGCGTGTCAGGGTAGACGGAGTGACGGGGGATCCTTTTGAATCTTCGCAGGGAGTCAAGCAAGGATGCCCTCTCAGCCCTACGCTTTACGGGATTTTTGGCGAGGGGTTTGCTGACTATGTTGACGCTAAGGATAAGTGGCTCCCTGATGCTATGCGCGCTAAGCAGCAGACTCCCCATGCGGATGGCCGGCGTATCCCGTTGGAACTGTATGCCGACGACCTCAGCCTTTTCGCTACGACGCACAGACGGCTGATTGTGTTGCTTGCTGATTTGAGAGAGTGGTGTGAGGCCTTTGGGATGCGGGTGAATGTCCGTAAATGTGAATTGATGGTTTTCCACCCTCGTGCCAATATCCGCGAGGCTTTTGCTGCCCTTTGCCCCGTGGTGTGGACTTCTATTGAGGGAAATGCGCGAGTACCTATGGTTATTCCCTGGGTACAACGAGCCCGTTACCTTGGTTTGCACTTTGGTCCTGGCACACCGTTTGTTTCCTGCACAGAGGAACTGTTGACCTCTGGCCGACGTGCTATGTTTTCTCTTCAGCGTAAATTAAAACGCCTAGGTCTTTTGGTCCCTGCTGTTGCAGTTAAGTGCTTCGACGTGCAAGTCCGCTCCATCTTGTCGTACGGTGTCCAGGTGTGGGGGCCTGATGTGGTGCTGAAGCTAATGACGGACTGCGAGAATTCCGCGAGGTACTTTGACAGATCCTTGCGGGACCCAATGGTGCAGTTACAAAGGGAATTTCTTCGGGAGATTGCGGGTGTGAAAGTCTCGCCTGATAAGTTGCTGTTTAAGGAGTTTAACCAGCGCCCCTTGCATGTCTTCTGGCTGGAACTGTTTCTGAGGTTTTGGAATGACCTGGTCAAGCAGAAGGACACGGTCTACCACCAGGCGTTGCGAGGTGAAATTCGTTCGGCTCTCAGTACTGAGCATTATGATGGCTGGGGTTCTAAGGTGTTGAAGATTCTGAAAATGTTAGGGACGGATTTGACGGCCTTGGGGGGTGAGTTGGACTTGAATGCGCGTGTGGAACGTATTGCTGGCACGGAGCTAAATGTGTCTGCTCTCACTAAAAAGTTTGCTGATAGAATGGATGCGGATTGGGAGGATAGGAGTTTGGAAGATGACCCGCGGCTTTTCAACCCAGTAGACCCCGTACCAGGGGTTGGAGTCAAGATGTGCAGGTACAAAAATTGGATGGGTGACCCGGTTGACAGGGGGTACATTACTCAGCGGCAGCATGTGAACCTGATGCGTTTTCGGCTGTGTGTGTGGGGCATTGAAGCTAATCGCCCTAGGGGTAGGCAACGAGTAGCGCGTGTCTGTCCTATGTGTGCCGTGCAGGGGTCGCCGGGGAGAGTGGAAGATGAGAAACACATCCTCATTGAATGTCCCGCTTACGATGATTTGCGTGATAAGATATGGGAAAGTGGTGTCTCACGGGATGCTGATATGATTGCTGTCATGGGCATGGAGAATCAGGCATTGCTTGCTAGCGTAATCACTAGCATGCGAAGTCGCAGGATTGCGCAGACAGGGTTTATCATATGATTAGCGTTCTGTTTGTTGTCTCTTTTGTTTTACTTTTCTTCTTTTGGTTGTTTTCGCGTTTTGTGCTCGCGATCCATGAGCCTTCTGGCTCGGACGGATCTTACGAGCTCGGTACGAAGCTTGTAACACATACATACATACATACATACATTCCCTATGGTTACACAAGCATTCCTTTCGTTTTCATTCTGGTATCATTTTGGGGTCCTTTCAACTGTCACTGCATTCCGCTTTTACTCAATACCAACGCACTATACGAACTTTGAGATGATATCGATACCTGGTCTACGTGCTTGATCACACCACCCTACTTGTGCTGATACGCTAAGATGAGGAGACGTAATAATGTACCGCTGAGAATTTTACAAGCTGTCGGCCTTGCCGCTGTAACGACATGCCTGGTTGCTTTGTATCTCCGCCAAGAGAAAATATCCGCGATTGACTCCGCATCAAACCGGCATAACCCGCATAGAAAAGGTGTCTTGGCAAAGTCACCGGCGAAGTCGTTGGTCGCTGCACACCAGCCATCCCTGCCGCCTCTGCCGGAGCCATGGGGCTCGCACCACATGTACACCCGTCCAGGGGAGTACCAAGCTTGCCCCAGCGAGTTGATAGAGGGCTCCTGGAGGTCCCCTCGCTCCATGGGCAACGCCGCCCTCCCGTTCACCCTTGAGGCCCAGCGTGAAATCTACGCCAACCAGCACCCCAAGGACTGCTCCAAAGCCAAGTACCTGCTGTACCACGTGCAGCCCAACGGCATCGGCGCCGTCTTCCATGGTGCGGAGAGGGGCGGGCACATGCGTAGGAGTGAGAGGCAGTCTCGAGGAGCATGCGTGTATGTCTCCTTTTGCAGAGGACCCTTGACAATGCACCAGAGTTCCGATGGGAGACGCCTTGTCGTCTTTCCGCCACCGCCTCTCTCGCTTGCAGCGCTACGCTCTTCCCAGCTCACGGCACACACACCACCCCCCTGCCCTCTCTGCTCCCTGTCGGACACCCCATGCCCTACTTCCCGCCCAACACATGTCACCCAACCCGCGCCCATTACCCCGCCCCTCCCTCCCTTCCTTCCTCCCTTCCTTCCTCCCTCCCTCCCTCCATCCATCCCCTATCCCAGTCACCGGCGTGGCTCTGGAGTTGGCGTTAGACCTGGGCCGCGTCTTCGTGGAGGCGCCCGGCAGCTTCCTGGCCTCCAGCCCCGAGTGTGGCGGCAACAACACGCTGGACAGCTGCTACTTCCTGCCCTTCGCCGGCTGCAAGCCCAGCGTGGAGCAGGTGCGCGCCGCGCAGGCCGTGTACACGCTGGAGGATGCGGAGCGGCACAAGGACGCGGCGGTGCTGGTTGCCAACCACAATGCGCTGATGGGGGTGCGCGGCCGGCCGCCCAAGCGCTTCGCGGCGCGGCTGGCGGCCACGCCCATGCACCCCGAGAAGCTGTACTACTGGTGGCGCGCGCAGTCGGTGGCGTACATGCTGCGACCCAAGCCGGAGACGCTTGCGGAGCTGGCGCGGCGCAGGGCGTGAGTGGTCGGGGGAAAAAAGAAATTCCAAAGTGTGGTGTGATAGTGGTCGGGGGATGGAGGGGTCGGAGGGGAGGCGGAGCGCGCAGCAGGGGGCACGCTTGCGTGGACATGCATGCACATACCTATTGAGGGGGTTTTAGCCCGGCATTCCTCGTTCCTGAGAGCACAGCTGCGCCCCCCCTCCCCGTTGCCACCGCGCAGGAAGACGCTGGCAGGCCCCGCACCCGCACCCGGCTGCATCAGCGTGCACGTGCGGCACGGCGACAAGGGCGTGGAGGCGCCCACATTTGAAGACAAGGTATGGGCCGGGTGGGGGGCAGCTGACTGAGCTATAGCGCCGTCGGCCTTTACCGACATGCTTCACAGCTGCATCGGTCGTTCCCACCGAGTGCCTTCCTTTTGTTGCATTATGACAAATGGTGTGCGCATTACGACACGTTCGCATGCACCTCCCAACACCCCCATCCCCCCCGACCGCCCTCAGGAGTACGACAAGGCGGCTGCCAAGCTCATGTCGCTGGACCCACAGCGCTTCACCAACCAGATCTTCGTGAGCACGGAGGACCCCGACACCATCTCCTACTTTGCCAACGCCACCGGGCCCGACGGCAAGCAGCGCTGGCGCACCGGCTACACAGCGGGCGTGCCGCGGAAACCCGACAGGCGAGCAACCGGGAGCGAGGCACGGGGGGTCTTGTAGAGGCCACGGGGGGCCTTACAGGGAGCGGAAGGAGCGTGGATGGGCGATGGCACAGCAGCATGCGTGCTAGCGGAAGGCAGAGAAGGAAGCCAATGACAAAGATCCCTGCCTCGCGCTGACACTCCCCGCTCCTCCCATCACTCAGTCAGTCAGTTGTTTCCTCTTTACCTCCCATCCTTCACCTCCCCCCACCTGCACCCAGGAGCCGGCCCAACCTGTCGTACATGGCCGAGATCGGGTACTACAACGAGATGCTGAACTCGCTGCTCAACCTGGACCTGGCGCTCGAGTGCACCGGCTTCGTGGGCTCCATCTATTCAAACTGGGTCAGGTGCGAGCTGAATCTGGAATCGTCCCTGAAACCCCAGGGATAGCATGCATGCACTTGTGCCTTTGCCCGCCTGCTCTATCTGCCACCGTACCGGTGTGCGCCTCCTCTGCATGCATGCATGCAGGAGCCGTGCATGTACGGTTCCCCTCAGGTTTTATGTCGTACACAACATGTACTGGTGGTAGGGTGCCGTACGTGATCTCCCCACTCAGCCCGGCAGCCGTGCCTGGCCGCTGACACGTCCCCTCCCCCCGCGTGCTCATTGGTTGCCGCACCGGGCTCCCGGCTGCAGGCTGATCGACGAGTTGCGGTCCACACTGCGCTGCAAAGCTGACGCCGTGTTCACGGACGTGCACGACGAGAACCCGCACCAGATGGGGCTGAACTGGTAGAGTGGAGTGCAGGCTAGGTGTGCGGGGGCGAGGTGGGGGTGCATAACTGCCTTAACTGGCTGTAGCCCCTGATGGCGAAAGACGAACGGTCACGTGCGGGAAGACCGTGTAGTTACCGTAGCACATTGCCGCGCCATGCGGGAGAGCGGGGTTATTGTATACAGGATGTGACCGGGGCTGTGCTGCGACTTGTGCGCTCTATGAGGGGTGTGGCTTGTAGCGTGGCTTGCGAGAGGGACTGCAGTGATACTGCTCTCGTGATGAGGTTAGCTAGGCCTTAGGTAGACAGGTTGCGCGCTGTGGGGTAGGACGTGAAACAGCATGGACCGTGCTTTCGGATGCTGCGTGCCAGCGGCTGCTACATGACACCGCATGGTAGGCTGCTTTGGGGGGAGGCGACCCATATGTGAGCAGCCGCAGAGCGTTGACCTGGACTCCTGTTAACACGGCAGCCGCACCTGCACCGCGATTTCCTGGAGGACTTGTGCAGGGGGCGGCTGGAGGCTGGGTGCCCCTGACCGCCAGGACTTTGCGCGAATGCGTTACTCGACGGTTACCGGTATCCCGTATCCGGGTTGGAGTGCTTTTGTAAGCCGCTAATGGCAGGTCTTTGCCTTTCTTAATGCTTTTCATGTTATGCTTGGCGCTTTTTATGTGATGCTTGTCTCCAGGAGGTGGTGGCGAACATGTGCTGTCGCAACATCCATTCGCCTTGACCATTACTAACGCGACCAGGACTGGCTGCTTCATCTCTTTGCAACTTCAGTCCTAAAGTATTACTGGACATACCGTGGAGACAGATTACAGGGCCAAACCTGGGCGGTTACACAGGTTTGGACAAGACCAGTCATAGCTAGTAAGCGAAGATGAAGCCTGCTGCGTCCGCTTACGAACGCGCTAGGTCAGCCTTCGATTACTTTACTTCTGAAGAGGGTGCCAAGGTCGCTTTCATGGAAAACGCGGGTGGCTCCCAGGTCAGCTCGCTCGCTCGAGGCGTCGAGGGTACCAACCACACACGCTAATCCCTTCTCTGAATTGCAACCGGCACGCGTACTTCCATCGTCTGACCTTCTACGCCAAAATAACAACAACGCGCAGGTACCGAGATGCGTGGTAAACGCGGTTTCGGAGTACTACTCGCAACACTACGCGCAGCTGGGGGCTGGCTACGCTCGCAGCCAGCGCGCCACGAAGATTGTGAGCGACGCGCACGCCTGGCTCGAGGTGTTTATGAACTGCAGGGGGGAGGGCAAGGTGGGTGGGAGCCAGGGCGCACCAACCCCCGCGAGAGCCCTCAGACCCAAACCCTTGTTCACCCTTGCCCGGGACATTTCCCAAACTGTTGTGCTTGTACACTGCATTACCGGCTTCCGTCCGCATAGGTACATGAAACGACCCTTGAGCACATGCCGACAAGCTACGCCGCTCTTCTCCGCTACCTCCTACCACGCTACCAGGCTCCCTCCGCCCTCCTCCCTACCTGCCTCCCCCCCTACCGCAGGTCATCATCGGCCCCTCCACCTCCCAGCTCGTCGCCAACCTCGCCTCCGCCCTGCAGCCCCTGCTGGGTCCCTCCGACGAGCTGCTGTTGCAGCAGGCGGCGCATGAAGCGGCGCTGGGCCCCTGGGTGCGGCTGGCGGAGGGCCCCCGCGGGCCCCGCCTGGTGTGGTGGCGGGTGGAGGCGGGGGGTGGGGGCGGCAGCGGGGGGCGGCCCCCCCTGGAGCAGCTGCGGGAGCTGCTGCGGCCCACCACCCGGCTGGTGGTGCTGTCGCATGTATCCAACCTGCTGGGTGGGGGGGGGGCCGGGAAGAAGGAGGAGATCTTGGGTGGAGGGAGAGAGGGGTGGAGGGGGGCCGAGGGGTATGAGGTGGGTACTGGGGTGTGAGGTACTGGGGGACGAAGAAGGATGGGGTGGGGCGAGACGGCAGCCGGTGGGGCTCCTCCCGACACCCCCCCTTCCCTCCTGCCCTCTCCTCCCCTCCTGCCCTCCCCTTCCCCCAGGTGAGGTGCTCGACCTGGCCCAGGTGGTGCGGCTGGTGCGGCAGGTGGCCCCCCGGGCGCAGGTGCTGGCGGACGGAGTGGCCTTCGCCCCGCACCGGTGAGGACCCTGCATGCATGCCTGCCTGCCGGGGGGGGAGGGACGGGGAGGGGAGAAAAAATTATATAAAAGTGAAACAACAAATCGGGGAGGGGAGGGGCGCTAGGGGGGAGGGACTAACGACGTGACGGGGCCCCACTAGTGAGAGGAGGAGAGAAGGAGAAGGAACATGCTTTATACGACAGTAGCACCTTCCCGGTGAGGGGGAGGGAGCTGGAGGGGGGCCTGCATGTCCCCGAAGGTGGGGGTGGGGGCCCCCAGGGGCACCCGTACTCCCCCACCGCCCGCCTCCCGCCCCTCCGCCTCCCACCTGCCGCCCCTCCACCTCCCACCTCCCCCCCCCGCAGCGCCATGGACGTGTCCGGCTGGGGAGTGGACTGGTACGTGTGGAGTGCCTACAAGGTGTACGGCCCCCACGTGGCGGTCATGTACGGCAGGCGGGGGGCGCACGAGGCGCTGCTGGCGGGCGGGGGAGCGGGGCCCAACCACTACTTCGTGGATCCCCGGGACATGGGCGCCAAGTTCGAGCTGGGGGGGCCCAGCCATGAGGGCTGCGCGGGTGGGGGTGGGGGGTGGATGGGGTTGCAATGGCTTCGGGGGAAAGTAACCTCCATTGGCTCCATGCACCGTCGTTTCCACACTGGCCACCTCGTCATGTCTGGTCCTCCTGCCCCTCCTGCCCCTCCTGCCCCTCCTGCCCCTCCTGCCCCTCCTGCCCCTCCTGCCCCTCCTGCCCCTCCTGCCCCTCCTGCCCCTCCTGCCCCTCCTGCCCCTCCTGCCCCTCCTGCCCCTCCTGCCCCTCCTGCCCCTCCTGCCCCTCCTGCCCCTCCTGCCCCTCCTGCCCCTCCCGCCCCTCCTGCCCCTCCCGCTCCTCCCTCCCGCCCCCCGCCCCGGCTCCCGCTCAGGCCTGCTGGCGCTGCAGGACTACCTGCTACACCTTCTGGGGGAGAGAGGGGAGGGGGGGCAGGAGGGACAGGAGGGACAGAAGGAGAAGGAGGGACAGGAGGAGAAGGAGGGGCGGGAGGGGAGGGACGCCAGCTCGCAAGGAGAGCAGCCCTCCTCCCCCTCCTCCCCCGCCTCCCCCGCCTCCCCGCTGCTCGGGGGTGTGCGCATGCAGCGACGCCAGGTGGAGGCCGCCTTCGCGCTCATCACGTCCCTGGAGGCCCCGCTGCAGCGCCGCCTGCTGCCGTACCTCGCAGCGCACCCCGCCGTACGGCTGGTGGGGCCGGCGGGGACCGACCCGGCGGGTCGCGTGCCCACCATCAGCTTCCTGCACCGCTGGAAGAGCTCCGCGCGGGTGGCCCGGGAGTTGCAGGTGGCAGGGGGGGGGAAGGGGGGGAAATTATAAATAAGTGCAACAACACAACCCCAATCCCGAATCCCGACTCATGCAGTGAGCGCATGAGGGGGGGAGGGAAGGGTGGGGGAGGGAGGGGGGAAATAGAAAAGTGATGCAACGGAATCTCCATCCCATATCCCAACTCATGAGGAGGGGAAGAGGGAGGAGAGGGCGAATACTGGGGATGGGAGGTTAGGAAGGAGGGAACCAACCGTGTGGCATGTAGGCTCCACCTTGGGTTGGTTGCATCGTGGTTGTCGGCCCAGGGGTGGGTTCGAGAGGGGAACCCAGGCTGTGTGAACGCATCACACAGCACATAGCACGCATCCCACGTTCATACATCTTCACACCTAACACCAGCGCACCTTGCACCCCCCCTCCCCCCCTGACCCTGTCAAGGCTGCTGGCTTCGCGGTTCGCTGCGGCCACATGTACGCAAGGAGGCTCGTGGAGGCGCTGGCGGCGGAGGGGGGGCTGCTGGCGGCGGAGGCGGCGGTACGGCAGCGGGGTGGTACGACAGCGCCGGCGGAGGCGGGGGACGCAGGCGGGGGCGGGGACGCAGGCGGAGGCGGGGGCGGGGGCGGAGGCGGGGGCGGGGGCGGGGGCGGAGGCGGGGGCGGGGGCGGGGGCGGAGGCGGGGGCAGGGGCTTTGACATGCACCGTGCGGTTGAGGAGGGTGTTGTGCGCGTGTCGCTGCTGCACTACAACACGCCGGAGGAGGTGGAGGCGCTGGTGGGGGCGATGGAGTGGGTGCTGTGAACCGGGAGGTGGGGGTGCGGGGGAGGTGGGGTTTTCTGTTTTGAGGGGGTAACAAACGCATGGCCAGTGGCTCCTGTTGCATGTCATGCACGCATGCATGCGGCGGCAGGAGAGGGACCGTCCTTAACACAACTAAGGGGGGCGAGAAAGGGCTTACATGCGTTGCGTTGACGCACCCGGCGGGGGCTCGGACTGAGGCTGGTGGTTGTGGCACGTGGCACGTGGCCGGGTTGCCGTACTGCGGTGTTGCAGAGGCGAGGGGGAGGTGCGCCGTGCGCGGGCGGCGTCAGCGCCGGAGGAGGCACGCGAGTCGGTGGGGACAGCGACACGAGTGTTGGCTAGGGTGGGAACTGCTGCAGACAGCTCATAGGTTTGCAGCCACAGCCGGGCATCTCGTAGGCCGCGGGTATGGGGAGTGCTGTCTTGGGGGTTGCAAAGCTAGCTGGGGGGCAACCCCCATGTCACATGGGCCATGTGTCATGCCTGACGTCTACTCCTGATGCCCTGGGAGAGAGGCCGCCGGCTGGGTCCTGTACGGCAGTGGGGCAGCGGGCCAACGGAGCCATGCGCCTGATTGGGCGCCAGGCCGCCCGGCGGCGCTGCTCGCAGGTTTGTTGAGTTGGTGGGTGAGGGCGTGTTGAGGGACAAGAGAGCGGGGGTCATGCGGCAACGGTTGCGGGGCCACCTAGCTGAGCGGACTGCCATGCTGCTGGGTGCCGCTTTGTGGGTTCGTTCGTTGATGGGGCTCGAGGGAGACACGCACCATTGTGCTTATTAATTGGTACATGATTGGGGGTGCCGCCTCAGGGCTTGACGCCTGTAAGAGTTGCTCGAACCCAGCCCTGTCAGCAACGTGCATGCAGCTACTAAAGGAGGTGAAGGGGTATACGGCACCTTCCAACGGATGTACGGCACCTTCCACACCGCCGTACAACGGTACCCAACGCAGCCCCGCCACCGCCATCCCCCTCCAAGCGCACACCCGCTACACCCATCAAGCAGTCCACGCTCCACCACTGCTGCTGCTGCTGCTACCGCCGCCACTGCAACGCAGTATCAACGCCACTGTCAGGGCTCTCTGACCACCCGCCAGCAGCCCTGTTCCTGCTGCACCCCCAAGTTCCCCCTGTTGCTAACACCTCCACTGCGGCCTCCCCGGCAGCAACCACCACTTCGCCCGCTACCTCTACTGCTGCCCCTGGTCCCCCTGCCCGCCGCCCTGCTTCCCCAGCCGCTGCTGCCTGCTTGCCCGCAGCTGCGCCACCATCTGCGCCACCCGCTGCCCCACCTGCCGCCGCAGCGCGGGCCGGTATCCCAACAGGAACAGCAGCTCGAACCACACGAACAGCGGGGCCAACGCGAAGGCCTGGGGGACGCAACAGGGGCAGGGGGGGAGGAGGGGAGGTGGAGGAGGAGCGGGTGCATGGGCGCACGCCACAGGAGCGGGCCACAGCCCTCCTCATCATACAGCTCGTCAGTTTCCTCTTTTTACCCCTCCCCAGCCCGGCCCCGCCCCTCCCCTACCGCCCCCTCCCCGCCCCACCCCGCCCCACCCCGCCCCTCCCTCCCCCCCACCTGCACCACGCTGTCCATGAGTGCGGGTTTGCGCCGCTCCAGAACCGCATGCCCCGGGTGGATCTGCAGGTACCAGGACAGCAGCTGCGGGGGGCAGGGGGGGCAGGGGGGGGGGGGGGAGGGCGCACTACTTTGCACCAATGGGCATAAGTCAGTTAGCCAGTCAGTGGATAAACAACCTGTGCCAGCGCCTGCTACTACACCCCCCTGGAGCCGTGGGCAGTGTCAGTGTTCCGCGGCTCAGCTATGTTGAAGTTATATACAGGTGCGCCTGCACCCACGCCGCCTCCTCCCTCCCTCCCTCCCTCCCCCCCCCGCCTCACATGCACCCCCAGCGCCACCCCCCAGGGTGCCACCCCCGCCACTCCGCCGCCCGCGCTGAACACCGTGGCGCTCCACGCCAGCGGCAGCCCCAGCAGCACCGCCCAGGAGGCGCCCGCGAGCAGGTCCAGTGCCAGGTAGAAGGCGGAGTAGGCGGCGGCGAGCAGGAAGGCGGGGTTGGTGGGCTGCAGCGCGGCGGACCAGGCGGGGGGGAGCCAGGCGGGGAGCGGTTGCAGCCAGGTGGGGAGGGAGGCGGAGGCGGGCAGCAGCGGGCCGAGAGCGGCCAGCCAGACGAAGAGGGACCAGAGGATGGCTGGGACGCAGAAGAAGTGGATGAGTTGGTTGAGGGGGTGGGTGTGGTATGCGCCGTAGAAGGCGAGCTGGGCGGGGAGGTCTAGGGAGAGGCCGCCCATGGTGGCGTGTGGGCGGTGGGGGGCGGTGGGGGGCGGTGGGGGGAGATTGGGGAGCGGAGGAGGAGGGGATTGGGGTGGTGGGGTCTGGGCTTCCGGGGGTTGAGGAGCAGTTGGTGGTTGGGAAGTGGGGAGGGAGAGAGCGAGGGCGAGGAAGAGGGCAGGGGCTTGGGAGCCGGCGGGTGGGAAGGGCGGGGCTGGTGGGCGTGGAGAGGAGGGCTGAGCGCGCGGGAGAACGGAGAAGGGGGCCGGTAGCCAGGGCTGTCAGCTGGAGTAGTGGTTGCTGCGCCCCGTTAGCAGGACGACGACGTCTGCAGGCAAGCAGGCAAGAAGAAGAAAGAGATCTCTGAGGAGAAATAAGTGGTTGTGCTAGAAAGCTCAACGATGTCGTTCGCAAAAAGCTATACATTTTCAGCTGACGTGTAAAGAAGGAACAGAGAACTTAGGAGATGCCGCGGGCAAGCGTGCAGACGACATTCAGATCGCTAGTGAGTTCTTTGCAGGATGCTGGCTTAAAGGGCAGCAGGTGTTGCGTATAACCGTTGAGGTGGGTGTTGCTCACCTTTAGCAGCTGGTGCAACTTCAGACGCGCATGTACACTGTGCTGAAGCCCCTAGCGTTACTCACGCGTGTGCAATTTGCCCTTTTTCACTTGCAAGCTTGCAACAAGCGAAAGCAGACATCGGCAAACGCTTCGGAGAGTTCGGGTCGTACCGAAGTTCCCGAAACAGAAATTCGGTATCCGAAGCTACCCATGCGACAGAAATAGGCCCTCGTGCTCAGGCGGGCAGCCCCTTACAAGCCCCAGAGACCATTTTGACCCCCACCGAAGCACTGCGGACACACAATTACTGCAAAAAGGGTGCAATTTCTGTTCCCTAAGCCCTTAAATTCCAAAATTTTCTCCGGGGGCTTCGCCCCCGAACCCCCATTCAAGGAAAATAGGACAAGTACATGGATTGGGCAGTCAAGGAATAGGCGCGCCGCCCAAAAGCGTGTTTTTAAGAGCGCTTAGAGGGCATACCGAAATAGGACCTTCCCGAAGCCGAAATTCCGTGTTTGCCGACGTCTGAGCGAAAGATCCAAACAAGTCGGTTTCGGAGGATTATTTCCAGCGGTGCGTAGCTGCGTAGTGCGTACAGTTTGACTACGTGACAAGCTGCTTTCCCAGTTCGCCCGCTATCCTGGCCCTTCAGCTTTTTGGTTTTAAGAAACCGTCAAATGGTTGCGACAACAACCATGCCAAGCCCCAACTTGTTTGTGCTGGCGCCTGCCGTGCCTTAGATGCTAGCTGTCATATGGTCTATACATAATGTAATCATCTTGCCTTGTGCGAACATGCGGCGTAGGAGGATATGGGCGTGCTGACATACAATGACCATGTTGAGGCGCATCGCTGCGAGCGGGGCTAGCCTACTGCAGCACAACCTGCGGGCCAGCACCTGCGGGATTTCCACCTCTCCGTGGACTGAAGTCGCTAGGCTTATAAGCAACACGTCCAACAGCTCGCCAAGCAGCCCGGACGAAGCACATGTCATCCATGGCCCCAACACCGACAAGGCTGCGCACCAGCCTGCGCACCCACAGCCTCCTCTTCTCGACAGCTCTGGACCTGTAAGTCCGAGCGAGCATGCCACTGCTGGTCTGGATCGCCTCTGGCTGGACTTCCGCAGGTGAGCTGCCTCGCTGACTACATCGCTACAACCCATCACGGTACCTGTCGAATGCCAAGCCAAGCGAAGCCAAACCAGGCAAGCATCCCCTCCTATGTAGCTGCCGCCAAACCAGCTGCTGCAGCTGCTGCTGCCCCCTCCGACCCTGCAGGATCTCGCTGCTGGCGGGACCCATCCTCGCGCAGTACCTCATGGCGCACGCCAGCCTCGGTAGCCCTGGTAGCCCTGGTAGCCCTGGTAGCCCTGGTAGCCCTGGTAGCCCTGGTAGCCCTGGTAGCCCTGGTAGCCCTGGTAGCCTCGGTAGCCTCGGTAGCCTTGCTAGCCTTGCTAGCCTCGGTAGCCTCGGTAGCCTTGCTAGCCTTGCTAGCCTTGCTAGCCTTGCTAGCCTTGCTAGCCTGCTGCCCTGCCCACCCGCGTACCGTGCGCTCCTGCACGCCTGCTTGGCAAGCCTGCCCCACGATCCCACTCCTCATGCGCACCCCGCACCCCGCACCCTGCACCCTGCCGCCTCAAGCCTCCAGCCTCCAGTTGGCAACCTGCCAGACATCCACCCTTCAACTCGCCATCATCCCATGTCCCATTCCCGCCTCCTTGCCTCCGCACCCTCCCTCCGCACCCTCCCCATTCCCCTCCCCCTCCCCCCAGATCGACACCGCCTTCATCGGCCACCTGCCCGACCCCGCGCTGCCCCTCAGCTCCCTGCTGCTGGGCGGCTCCCTGGCCCTGGCCTCGGGACACCACCTCATGTACGGCCTCGCAGCCGCCAGCGACACGCTGTCGGGGCAGGCGGCGGGCGCACGCAACGCCCGCGCACTGGCTGCCAGCCTGCACCGCTCGCTGGCGGTGTGCGGCGCGGCGGCGGTGTGCGTGACTGCGCTGTGGTGGGGCGCGGAGCCGCTGCTGGGGGCGCTGGGGCAGCAGCCGGACATCGCAGCAGGGGCGGCGAGGTGAGAGGTGAGGGAGGGGAAGGAAAAGGGAAGGAGAGGGGAAGGGGAGGGAGGGGAGGAAGCGTGGAAGCCGTATCAGACACCTGGTGACCGGGCCCTGTGCTGCCGCCGGCGCTCCCTTCAGGTGAAACCACACGCCTTTACACCCGATGCTACGTCTCCCTCCGCTCCTCCGCCCGCTCCCCTCCGCAGGTACCTCCGGCTCACCCTGCCGGCGCTGTACGGCTACACGGTGTTTGACTGCGTTGACCGGCACCTGGTGGCGCAGGGGCGGGTGGCGCCCGGGGTGGCCATCACGGCGGTCGCGACCGCCCTCACACCGCTGTACTGCTGGCTGGCCATCGTGCAGTGAGCGCAGGGGGGAAGGGCCGGGCGGAGGCAGAAAGGGAAGCGGGGCGAGGAGGGGTGCGGGCCTGCGGGGAAGGGAAGGCATTGGGAGGGTGAATGCGGATAGGGAGCGGTCATCAGAGCGCACGGAGTAAAGGAGTGGTGTCCCTCCTCTCCCTCCTGCTCCTGCTCCTCCCTCCGCCCGCCCGCCTCCTCCCTGCCAGTCTGGACCTGCAGCTGGACGGTGCCGCCGCCGCCTACAACGCCACCCAGCTCACCAGCGCTGCGCTCTCGCTGGCCTACCTGCGCTGGCGGGCCAGGCGGGCCGAGGAGGTGTTGAAGGCGGCGGCAGCGGCGGGAGGGGGGCGGGAGGGGGACCGGGTCAGGGCGGCGGAGGAAGTAGCGGAGGCGGAGGCGGCTGTGCTGGCGTTGCGGCCCACTGCCGCGGCGCTGAGCGGGTGGGGGCCCTACCTGGCGCTAGCGCTGCCCGCCACCCTCATGACGTGCATGGAGGGCTGGGCGCTGGAGGTGGGGTGGCGGGTAGCGGGTGGCGGGTGGCGGGATGGGGTGGTGGTCGCTGCACGTGTGTGCTCCTGTCAACTCAGCTCTGCAACCCCCGGTTGGTGTGTTGCATGCGTTGCTGCGGGCGCGTGTCTACCTACGTGAGCAAGCCTGGCTGCGGCCTCTCTGGTTGCGGCCTCTCTGCCCCCTACCCGCTGCCCTCCCCCAACCGGCATGCAGTCCTTACCCTGCTCCCCCCCTGCCCCCCCTGCTCCCCACCTGCCCCCCCTGCTCCCCACCTGCCCCCCCTGCTCCCCACCTGCCCCCCTCCCTCCCCCCCAGGTGCTGGTGTTCCTGTCCGGCCGCCTGCCGCAGCCCCAGGTGGCGCTGGCGGTGTGCGGGCTGTGCATGCAGGCCAGCACGCTGGTGTGGCTGGGCGGGGCGGCGCTGGGGACCGCCACGGCAACCAGGGTGGCCAACGCGCTGGGGCAGGTGCGGGGGTGCGGGGGCGGGTGCGGAGGTGCGGGGGCGGGTGTTGTGAACGGGCGTGCTCTCGGTAGGCAGGGCGCCTTGGGTTGACTGGGGTGCTGGTTGCTTGGCGCGTGTGCGGTCGTGTGCGGCGCGTGTGCCTAGCTGGGCCACTGAGCCACCAGGGGCGACTGGGCGCACGGGGGCGGCGAGGGTAGGTTGAGGGCCGGCGTATGGCGCGGCGTGTGCTGAGGAAGTTGTGTTTCAGAGCTGTCTTGGCTCGTCAGGTCGGTTCTCATCTTAACTGCTTGAAGCCGACTGAAGCCAACTTGACACCAACGCGGTCCCCCTCCAGCACCTGAAACCCTAGCACCCGGCCTTCACAACTGCCCAGCCACCCCTGTCACGGTGCCTCCCCCCCCCCCGCCCATGTTCCACCGACTCCTGGTAAGTACTACTTTTTGGTAAGTGCATTCTGTTCTTTCGGTTAAATTCTATCGGGTAAGGTGGGATGGACCGGCTACCATGTTTGCACCCCATGGTGAAGCCTTGTCATACAGCTCGTCAGTCGCTTCGTCAGTGTCTCATCATATATATTTTTTTACCCCCGCCCCACCCCCCCACCCAGGGTGACGCCGCCGGCGCCCGGCGCCTGTCGTACACCTCTCTGGGCCTCGTGCTGGCCAGTCAGCTGCTGGTGGGGGGTGCCGTGTACGGCAGCGGGGGCGGCCTGGTGACGCTGATGACGAGCGAGCCGGGGGTGCGGGCGCTGGCGGGGGAGGTGGTGCCGGTGCTGGCGGCGTGCTGCGTGTGTGGGTAGCTGGGTGGGGAGGGAGAGGGCGGAGGAATGGAGGAGGAAGGGAGGAGGGTGGTTGGTGTAAAAGGGGGAGCAGATGGGGAGAGCGTTGCGGCAGGGTGGTGGTGCTGGTGGTGGCGGTCGCTGGCGGGACGAAGGCCCCATGTGAGGCCCACATTTCGGTTGGCGGACAAGCCGCAGGCAGGGGGGGTGCGACGTCCACTGGAGGTGCCGGTGTCTAGGAGAGCGGCAGTGGCTAGGAGAGCCACGACGGGTCGTGTAGCCCATGTGGCTTACACGACCCCGCCCTCGCTCCCCTCAGCCCAGACTCCCTCTTCTCTTCCTTCCTCCCCTACCTGCTCCCACGTCATTCTCTTTCCGCACCCCCTCCCCCTCCCCTCATCCCCCAGTCGACGGCCAGAACGTGGTGCTCTCCTCCATCCTGCGCGGTGCGGGCCGGCAGTGGCTGGGCGCCGGCTGCAGCCTGGCGGGCTGGTGGGGGGTGGGGGTGCCGCTGGCCTACTACCTGGCCCTGCCGGCCGGCATGGGCGTGTGGGGGCTGTGAGCGGGGTTCGCGGTCGCCTCGGCGCTGCAGGCGGGGGTGCAGTGGGCGGTGGTGGCGCGGCTGGACTGGGAGGCGGAGGTGCGGCGCGCGAGGGAGATGGTTCGGGAGTCGGAGGGGGAGGGGGCGGGAGGGGAGGGGGAGGGGGGAGGCACAGGGGTGCGGTGACCGGTGCGAGTGGGGGATTGCACCGGCTGGATGCGTGGGGGGTGCTGCGGTACCCCCAGGTCCTGCAGCAGCAGCGGCAGCAGCAGGTGGTGGTGGCGGTGGCGGTGGTGGTGCAGAGGTGAGGCGTCGGCCACCTGGGGGCGGGCTACGGTGGCAGCGCAGCCCTCCAGGCAGTGTACGGCAAGTGGAGCTGCTGGTGTTGTTTGATGCGGTGTGGGCGGTACAGTGGTGGTAACCTTGCAGTGCTGGTTGGCCCGTGTGGCACAACGCACACCGGTTTGGTAGGTGTTCTGATTTCAACAATCCGTGGCCCTGTACTTTGTATAGTACGAACGAACGTAAGACCCCAGCTGTTGGCAACAGTGTGAGTGTGCGGGGTTGCTCCCAAATAGTTGTCCCTTGGCTACTGGCTGTGGGTTTTGCAAGGATGACCAAACCTGTGCCACCGGCAGGGCACGGTTGTACTCGTAGCAAACATGATTATCCGACGTTGCTGTACGTAGTTTTGCAATGGCGCTGAACACATGAGGTCATGAGTATAGCGTAGGCGGTGTATATGTGCCAACCGCGGCGAAAGGTGTAGATCGGGCATGCGCGTCATGCCAGTGAGGGGAGAGGAGCAGGCGAGCGGTGACTTGGGCGTGGGGAAGTGTATGAGTTTTTTCCCATAGGAGCAGCCTTTGGAGGACTGGTACAGACTATAATGTTCATAGGAGATTGATTAATGCCATAAGTTTGGCGATCGGTGGCTACCCCTGACGGTTGCATGATGCCGTAGAGTCATTGGCGATACGCTTTATTGTTCAGCTGTAAACAGCACAACCTGCAGCATTACTCTCTGGCTAATCCAAACCAACACAGCGGGACGCAAATGCAATAATAGGAAAAAATGCCATCGCAGGCCACTTTTAAGATAAAGCAAAATACCCCGGAGGGCGATAAACTTGAGAAACGTATACACGAACAGCTTAAGTCAATATGGGATCCGGCAGCGGACGCCACGGTGGCCAAGTACTTGACTGCGATGCTGGCCAAGGGCTATGAGCGCAAGAAAATACACCTCCAGCTTAAGGCGATCGTGCAAGAGGATGTTTCCTTGGAGCTTCTTAACTGGTGCGTTGTTCCGATGGTTGCTTCTATAACGTGGCTGGGGTTGGTTTTTATGCATGGCCTGGTATGCTAACAATTGGCCCATTAAACCGCAGGCTTTACACGCACCTGAGGCAGCATGGCAAAGAGTATCAGAGCAGGGATACTTCCAGCAGGTCAGCTACGTCCAGACCACGATCGTGTCGCAGCACTGTCGGCAACGTTATAGTCTACTCGAGCAGCTTTCTGAATCGTCTTCGTTCATTTGCAGCTCCAAGCCAAATGCAAAGACGCCGGCTAGCGCTGCCAAGGCACTGCATCCAACGGAGGTAGGGTGTTACCTCACAGTGCTGTATCCTTTGACAACCACTCACACTGTTTCATCTTGTTCGAGTAGGACGAGCTACGACTCGAGGATCTGGAAGCGCAGCAGCTAGAGGGCTCGGACCTTGACGACGAGGACCTTGGCGACGGCCAACATGCCCCGAACAGCGAGGCAGCCGAGGAGGACAGGGGTGCTCAGCCTCAGGCTGAGCGTGCCAGCCAAGAGCCGGCAGGCCCGCCTGCAGATCGCGATAGCGGTGCGGCTGGGGCTGCGGACGCCTTTAAACCAGGGGGCTCTGCTGCCCAAGCCGCAGAATCGCAGCTGCCGCCAGCAAATGATGCTACCCCTGCCGCTGGGGCCTCTCACCGCAGCGAGCGCCGTGCGCGCCAGCCCATACCTGTTCCCACCTTTGCTGAGCCCCGGCGCCCGGATATGTCTGCTGCTGCAGCAGGGGTCAATGGCGCTGAGGCTCAGCAGCAGGATGCTGGGCCCCGTGACAACGGCACGGCCGGCAGCACCCAGGCGGCGCCTGCCCCCGGGCCCTCCCAGCAAGCTGCGCCCGCGGTGGAGCGACGGCGCCTGAAGTCCTCCGTGGTGCTCGACTGGGACTCATGGCAGAAGCAGAAGCAGCCAGAAGAGGGAGAGCGGGGGACGGGCGGGAGCAAGTCACCCAAGGTGGAGCGGCACGCGTTGCTGGACCGGCCGCTCGCGGACATGGCGCGCAGGGCGGAGCAGCCGGCGTCGCGGCAGCTGCAGGAGGATGAGCGGGAGCGGGGTCGCAACCGGGATGGCGGCCGCAGCCGGGATGCGGATGCCGAGGTGGGTAAGCGGAGGCACGAGGCCGAGGCGGGACGGTCGGGGTCTCGCCAGCGGGACCGCGACGGCGACGCGTCGGCACGTCGTGGGCACGAGCGAGACGGCGAAGACGGCGGCGGCCGGCGCAGGGGGTCTGCGGGGCCGGGCGGGCGGGACCGCAGATCCCGCTCACGATCCCGGTCGCGGTCACGATCGCCCCGGGGCCGGCGGCCGGCGCGGGCGCCGATCACCGCGCCCGCAAACCTGCTGAAGACGGCTCTGCGGGGCGTGGATGCGGCACCGCCGGTCGCACGGGGTGCCTCGTCGCCGCCGCCGCAACGAGAAGGTGCAGGCGCGGGCGGCCCTAGGCCTAGTGTTTTCGCCCGTTTGGGTGTGGCGGGCGCTGCGGGAGGAGAGGATGGGTCCGCCCGAATTCCGGTTAAGGAGCGCCTGGGAGGTAAGTCTGGGTGTTGGTCAGGAGCGCGGACATTGCTAGCAGCCTCTTAAGGGACGGTGGGGTAGCGAGGCCGTGACGAATGCGTGCTCCATTGCTGTGCACCATGGCTATGAACAGTCGCCACAGCAGCTCGTAGCTGCCCATGCATCCTGATACGCATGCACTCCCGCACTGAACGCTCTCACTGCGTGCCCTTGCTCACACTGATGCGGAAGGATATGCTTTACCCCTTCAGCCATGGAGCCTGGGAGCCCTTGTGTTACCCGTTGCCATGATGTTTGCCCGCGCAGACAAGCCTCAAGACGCTGCGGCTGCTGGCCGGAAGCGCGGCCTGGAGGGCGCGGCGGGTGAGGGTGCTGGCGACGCAGCCATCTTGGGATCGCCACCCAAGGCTGCGCGCGGCATGCCTGGGCAGAAGCTCCAGCCGCCTGCCGCCGCCCTGGATGACTCGCAGCGGGGACCCGCCTCCACCTCCGCTGCTCCGGCGGCACGTCAGCGCCGCGGCACCTCCCCCGCGCTTCCCGGCGGTGGCGGAGGTGCTCAGCTGCAGCCGCCGCAGCCGTCCAAGCAGCAGCAGCAGCCACCTCGGCAGGGCGGCTCTGGGCAGCACGCGGCGGCGGGTCCAAGCGGCACGGGGACTGCACCTGCGGCGGCGGGCGCGGCGGCGACCAGCGGCGCCGACTCCAAGGATGCGGAGCTGGAGGCCCTCCGCCGGCAGATGGCCGCCATGCAGCAGCAGCTGGCGTTCATGGAGACCGCCAAGGCCCAGCAGCAGCAGCAGCCCCCCGCGGAGGCGGCCCAGCAGCCACTGCAGGTTCGGGCGCAGGGCGGGCGCGGCGCGGCACCGGCGGCTGCTGGTGTCATGGTGGCCCCGGGCGGCCGCGGCGCCGGTTTGGACCTGTCCAATGTCGTCATGGAGGGTGGGTCGGGAGACGATGTGTTTATCGAGGGCGGGGCGGGCTCGCCGCCGCGGCAGGCGCCCATGCAAGCGCCCATGCAGAAGCCGGAGCTGGCGATGAAGGCTGAGCAGCAGCGGCTGGCTGCGGCGCAGCTGGAGGCGGACATGCGGAGCCTGGTGGTGGAGAACGTGCACTTCATGGTGAACGAGCAGGTGCTCGCGGCACACTTCAGGTGAGGGAATATCTCGACGGATTAGGGTTTGGGCGTGAGCGTGTGGGGTGAGCTATCACGTTGGCTGTGCAAGGGTGGGCGCGCTTCGCCTAACAGTGGTGTGCACATTGGTGGTTTGGGCTGGGGTTGGTGTGCAGTCCACGTGCATGCCTTTATTACGCAGCTACAGGTGTTCTGTTTAAGTTCAGGATAGGGTGGGCATTGAAAGCAAGTACGCCTTGCGCTGAACTGTTCCTCCAAGCATGCGCACAAGGGCTACTATGCCTCCTTTGGTGTTCAGTTTTTTCGCCTAACTATGGACGGTGGGCATTGACCCCTTCAAGAGTATAGAATCAAAGATACCACGCCTTTCTGCCCATCCAGTGTCGCGGGTCCGGTCAAGAGCGTCCACATCGTCCGCGACAACTTCACGCGCCGGCCCACTGGGGTGGCGGTGGTGGAGATGGCCACGGAGCAGGCTACGCAGGCTGCTGCTGCACTGTCTGGCTCACTGCTGGTGAACTGCCCTATCGTGGTGACGCTCAAGGCCGCGCTGTTGCTGCAGGGCATTGCTATGGGTTCCGGTCCAGTGGGTATGGGGGCTGTGGGAGGGGCTAGGCCGGTAGGAATGCCGCAGGTAGTCATGGGCGCCGGGCAGGGCATGGTGGGTGGTGGGCGGCTGAACCCGGCAGCACCGCCGTTTGTTCCCGCCAAGCCTGCTGCAGTGGTTGCGGGTGCTGATTCGACAGGTGTTGGCATGGCCGGCAGTTCTCGGCCATCGTGGCCTAAGCCCAGCGGGGCTGCCCAGCCTGGTCGCGGTGTGGGGCCGTTTGCAGGGGGGCCGCGACAGTTTGCGGGTCCCAAGCCGAACGTGTGGGTGAGAGAGATGAAGCCAAGTGCTGACGCTGGTAACCAGGGATGAGTAGCTGGTGCTGAGTTTGGTAAGAAGGCCTTGAATGGTTGTGCGCTAAAGGTCCGGACTTGCAAATCAGCTCCTCATTACAATCAGGTCCTGAACGTCGCCGTCTTGGCTGCTTAAGGCGCACGACCACGCCCTAATGTACCAACATTGCACTCGCTACTAATGCACACCGTTGGATTGTGCGCACAGTCCGGCAATATAATGTCGAGCTCTGCCCAAAAGTCCGGAACCCATAGGAAACCGATTAAGGAACGTAAACCACCCGTCATATCCACCTATCTAAACACCATTAACAGCAGTAAGCTTATGCCGAGGCTCCCCTTGGCCGGAAAACGGCGTCCGGCTGCTGGCCAACGCCCTTTAGTGGTGGTGCGCCTTGCCATGGGCCTTGGCGTGCAGCTCATCAAGAGCAGGGGGCACGTCGGTCATGTGAGGGACCTGAAATGGCAGGAACAGCGCGTGTCAAGTTGCACTCACGACACCATGGCCATGGCTGCACAGGCTAGCTCGCCGCCGCTTGACGCACCTTAGGGCACCGGGTAGGGTGGCGATCCGGGTTCTGCAGGTAGATAACAGGCGTGGCATTGTACTCCGCTGTCGAAATCTCCCGGGTGCCAGTCGCAGGCCGGCCCGTGCAAGTCTGCAGGTAAACGACTGCACCCACAAGGGCAGCAATGCCCGTGGGGAAGCTGAAGTTGGCGCGCGTGAAGTAGGCCGCGTAGCTCATTGTATCAGTCGCAGCAACAACAGGCGCTCAACCGCTTCACTAGCGTAAGGTCGTCAACGAAAGGCACAATGTACACAAGGTATAATGGATGAATATGTATGCGCAAGGGCCGGATTCCTTTGTCGTGCGCAAAGTCGTGCAAACTGCATCGCAAGCCTTGCCCAGGCACTCTAACAGGGAACTCGCAACACCTTCTTTGTTTATGCTGTGATTACAATCGTATGCATATAATCCTGCCTTCCAACAACACCACTCGTGACGCGCCCTTCACCTTACTGGTTCTAATGTTTTTGTTTACTTAACACGGCCGTGAACCCAACACTCCGCTAGCATGTAGTGATCTATGCTGGGTTGCCATTGTACCCTTGGCCTTGGAGAAGGACGTGGAGTACCTGCTGCAGCATCGTTACACTATTGTTAACTTGCGTCATTAGAGAAGGCAGCTAATGGATTCAACATCGACGACATCCATGTTGCTGGATAGCACCAGGCCGGGACGAGGTGGCAGCGTTTGCACGGACACAGATGTGGCTAGTGACACTACTAGTGACATAACATCCGCGTCTGGCCTTAACCATGGATCGCTTGCTGACTACCAGGTGCGTGTGCGGGTGGCCGTCCAGCCGTGCTTGGTGCCCCCGAGTGCTTAACCGTCTCCCCCCCCCCGCAGCTCGACCGGCTGCTGGGACGCGGGAAGTACTCCCAGGTGTACCTGGCGAGGGAGATTCAAACTGGGCAGCTGGTAGCAATAAAGCGGGTAAGGCGGCAGGCCTGCGCCGGTTTCCCTAGCCTACCAATGGGTGCAAGGGCTGGAGGTTGTGGCACCAGGGGTCCTCGGCACGCAGGGTTTTGTCCTATGCAAGAGGGTTCGTGACATGCCTGCATGGCGCATTTGGGTCCCTGTGCTCTGGTATCGCCAGTTTGCAATGTGCTAGTAGCACTCAAGCGTCGTCATGGCTATGCAGCTTACTGAACGGGGCGTGTGGCAGCCTTTCCCTGGCGTCTCCCGAGCGTACGCCCCACACTGCACGGGCTGTGAGCACTCGTGGCTGGAGTCGGAGTGGCGAGGCAGCCGAGGGGAGCGGCCGGGTCCCGCTACTGCCACCTGCCGTAACCACACACAGCACCGGGGTCTCCAAGCAGGGTGGGGCGGAGCCGAGCTTGCAGCGTCACTGGTGTGCGGCGCTCCTGCATGAGAAGCCTGGCTGGGTGGCTGGGTGGCTGGCTGGCTGGGGCGCATGCAGCAGCTGCGCTGGGTGCATCCCCGCCCCTCTGCTGCTCCTGGACTGAGACCACAGGCTCGGGCAGTCTGGCGGGCCGACAGCGGTGTGTGCCCCCTCGTGCGCCCCCGCGGAGCTCCTGCTGCCCTTCCACACCACCGTAGGAGGACCAACATGCACCGCCACAGCCCAACCCGCATCTCCCCACACTCTCACCCTCCGCCTTCCCGCGTCCCAACCCTCCTCCTCCCTTCACCTCCCTTTCCCCAATGCCTCCCCCACCCCCCCGCAGGTCGAGATCTTTGACATGATGGACCAGGCCAGCCGGCAGGCGTGCGTGAAGGAGGTGAAGATCCTTCAGAACGTGGAGCACCCCAACATCGTCAAGTGCTTCCGCTCCTTCCTGTCGGAGGCGGACAACGAGCTGGTGATCGTGCTGGAGTGGGCGGAGGCGGGTGACCTGGGGCAGCTCATCAAGCAGCGCGCGGAGGCGGGGCAGCTCTTCGCCGCGGAGCAGGTGTGGAGGCAGTTCCAGCAGGTGAGGGGTGAGGGGGAGGTGCTCCCGTTGCTGCCCTCCTGATGCTCCCGTTGCTCCTGCTCCCGTTGTTCCCATTGGTCTGCTGCCGATGGCTCTGCCGCGATGTGCGCCACGTGTGGTGGTCCAGGTCTGCAACGCGCTGAAGCACATGCACGACCGGCGCATGATGCACCGCGACCTGAAGCCCTCCAACATCTTCGTGACGGCCTCGGGCGACCTGAAGCTGGGGGACCTGGGCCTCAGCCGGTACTTCAGCAGCAGGACACTGCAGGTGCGGGAGGGGGGGAGGGGGGAAGAGGCCGGGGCTGGGAGGGAAGGCGGGTGAGCGGGAGGGACGTCGGTGGGTATGGTGACCCATGGGTCTGTCGGGTGTGCATACATTGGATTGCATGGGTACTGCACCGATCTCGGGCCACTTGTATTATGCTCGTGTGTGGCATCCAAGGGTCAGCGCCATGTCTGGAAGGCCTCCCTTCTTCCGTCGTCCTCCTGTGCTGGCATGCCTGCACGTCCATGAGCCCATGCAAGAGTGGCTTACCTGGTCGCACCCTCCCTCTCCTCGCTGCACAGGCGCAAACGACCGTGGGGACACCCTACTACATGTCGCCGGTGGGTCGTGATGCGGCTACGGGCGAGTGTCATGGGGGCAATGCTGCTGCCACATGCGAACTGACGCGCTTCCCTGGGGTTGCATGCGGGGCCTGCTGGCCTCAGGACTGGACTGCATTCGCTCCTTCCAGGCACTACGGTAGCTGCTGACACGTACCCGTGCCCGCCTGCTCCCGGTGCCCCGCAGGAGGTGGTCCGCGGTCAGCCGTACGACTTCAGCTCGGACATCTGGAGCCTGGGGTGCCTGCTGTACGAGCTGATCGCGCTGCGGAACCCCTTTTACAAGGTGCGGTGCGGTGCTGAGTAGTTAGGTGGGAGTGCATGCTTGCATGCAGGTGGTTGGCATGATAGGGGCACCTGGATACCGGGGGCGGGGCGGCTTGGGATGGTGACATACCCGCCAGCAGCCCCACATCGCCCCCCGCCCCCCACCCCCGCCCGCAGGAGAACCAGAGCCTCTACGCGCTGGGCAAGTGCATCCAGAGCTGCCAGTACGAGCCGCTGCCCGACTCGGTTCCCGAGGAGCTGCGGCAGCTGGTGACTCGCATGCTGCAGCCGCTGCCGCACGCGCGCCCCAGCATCGCCCAGGTGACCGACTACGTGAACAGCTACATGGCGCAACAGCACCCCAACAGCAACAACGCGCAGCAGCAACAGCAGCAGCAGTACCTGTACCAGCAGCAGCAACACTTTTTCTCGCATGCGTTTTCCCAACCGCCGCTAGTGCAGCCACAGCAGCAGGTGGGAGGCGGAGGGGGAGGGGGAGGGGCAGGGGGAGGTAGGCACGTGTCTGGGTCGGGTGCGGGGCTAGCTGGGTCGTCAGTAAGTGGCGGTGTGGACCTGGGGGTCACAGGATACAGCATTCAGCTGACGGGGAGAGGCCTCAACTCCACATTACCGCGGTAGCAGGGGCGGGGCTGCAGGTTGGGGGGGAAAATATAAATAAGTGCAACAACACAGGGGGGGGAGGGTTGTGGGGAGAGGGTGCGTGGGGTTGTGTCCGGTGCGGTGGGGAGGCATGCAGGGGGGTCGAGCGGTGGCGTGGGGGCCTAGGGGAGGGGGTAGTTGTTGTTGCTGGGGTTGAGTGCATGGGTTGCAGCAGCAGGAGGTGGTGCATTGGAACGTGAGGTGTGCGACCAGGAGCATCGTGAGCCGCAAGTGCGGTTGAGGTGTGACAAAGACCCTGCGGCTCCGAGGCATGGCGATGAGTGTGGACAGCCTTATATGCATAGATAGCAACAAGTGGTTGCGTGAGTGTGCGTGCTCGACAGCGCACGCTTACATCCCAGCGTACGTCCGGCTTCGTCCGGCTTCGTTCTGTCATCCCTGTCCGTAACGGTGAAGCGGGCCCCGCGCTTCTCCGGTTGACAGTTAGCAGCAGCCGTACACAGCGTAGTAGCACTCCAGACAAATGCTGGTTCCGTATGTCTACGACTGCTGTCAGTGGTTGTACTTCTTGACACACGTTTTTGGGGGAGCACATGGAGTCCGTGGCGCAATGCCATTTGTGATGTACATCATGACCCGTGGGTCACTGTTATAGAGGGTGTGACCCGCACGTGGCGCCCCTAAGGCGGTCGGTTAGGAACAACGGAGGGTTCTTTCTATTGCACTCGAGCGCTTAGGAGGAGGGTAACGCGCTTGGGTTTAGCTTCCATTGGCATGGCGCGGAAGTGGTGGTGATGGTGTCGCCGCTGGTGGGGTCCACACCGCGACGTGAGAGTGCACCCCGCACTGACCCGGCAGTTTCGGTAGCGCATTCATGGTACGAGGGACAAAGTCCTTTTCAATAACTGCGTAGGATGGACTACGTAGACAGCTAGGAATGGGATGTTATAGCCCTCTTAGGAGCGAGGGCCACCGCGGTCTGTGGAGGCGTGGCGGGTTGGCTTGTGCTTTAAAACATCCCATGTTTTCGCCGTCTATGATACAGGACCCCTGGTTCAGTTCGACTACACATGCATGTACTTGCAGCAACAGCGGTGGTAGTAGCGCCCTTAGGGCACGCTGTCGTGCTGTTCGGGAAGGTCCCGATGCACAGCCTGCCGCACGTGACTTGTCCAGGGCAATACGGGTGTATCCCCATGTAAGAAACGCGCACTCGCCCCTGCTTCCGCCAACCATTATCTTCAGGCCGCTGCCTATGTTTGCTACAACTTGCACAACAACAAGCTTCAGAATACCATACCCATGGTAGCGCCCTAGAGGGGGCCCAGCGGCACAGTTGTCTGCTACCGGGCACCTAGCGCAGCACCACCGGCTTCGCAACCACCGCAACCACCTTCCACGAAAACCACTGAGGACTTCCCGTGGTCCGAGAGACCTGTGAGCTGTGACCTCCTGTTACTCCCCTCCTCCCTTCCCCCCCACAAGAGTCACACAACGATGTCGTCTCGCGACAACTCTGTATACAAATTGCAATAGTGCCGTACCGACTCGTCGGTATGTAGCGGCAGATAAAGATATTCGACGAACGCGAGTTTCATTGTCATGAATCCAAATCATAGTCCCGGTCCCGGTGGTCTCAACTGAAGACGAGCAGAGTCACTGTCAAGCTGCAACCCGGTGCTAATTCCACAAAAACGCGGCGGTACATGAAACATATTAAGCATAGCGCCTTTCTGCGGCGCCTGCTTGCGTCTTCTTCGCGCGATGTCATACAACGTAACGTGTCACTAGTAGGTCATAACTTCAAAACGCAGCAACGAGATGCGTCGCAGAACAAGTAGAAATAAATCAAGACGAAGCATGGTTGCGAAATAGGCGTTTTAGCAACATCAACAACAGCAATTAAACAATAACACATGTACACATCAGTCGCATACACGCGGGGCATCCAGGGCCGCCGCCGCCGCCCACCACCTAACCCAGCCTCGCACCCGCCGCCACCACCTCCGTACCCAATCCGCAGCCGCTCCCCATTATACTGTCCACGTCGCCGGCCGGCTCCATCGCCCCTGAGCAGCTGATGCGCCGGGTACGTTGAAACCTTGCGCCCACCACCTCCAATGCGCCGGGAACACCGCTGCCGCCGCCACTCTGGCCGTTACCGTTACCGTTACCGCCGCTGCCGCTCGACCAGGCCGTAGCGGGGCGCAGAGAGCCCCGCACGGCGGCCATACCCGCCGGCATGACGTGCATGCTGCGCCGTACCTCCGCAAATGGATCCGCTGGCGCCGCCGTCGGGGCCCCATACGCTGTCGGCACCTTACCCGTCGTGACTAATCCGCCGCCACCGCCGTTGGTCCTCACCCTGGTTGGCTCCAGAGGCATCCCCAGTCGGGGTGAGGACTCCAGGAGGCGGTGGTCAAGCGGTCCGCCGCCACCGCCGCCGCCGTCACTGACGGGAGCTCCGCCAATGGTGCCGCCAGCGCTAGGAATGACACTGCCGCCGCCGCTGGCGCCGCCGCCACCACAGCCAACAGGCGCGAATACGTGCGCAGCCGTGTTCCGACTGCCTCGCACGCCAGGCGACGTGAGGCCGCTGCCACCGCAGGCAACACGGGCTGTGGGGCCCGTGCCGCCGCCGCCGCCGCTGCCGCCGCCGCCGCCGCTGCCGCCAAAGCTGCCGCCGCTGGGTTCAACGAGCAAAGGCGGATTGCCGCCGCCGCTGACGGCTCCGCCAGCGCTGCCGCCGGAGGTCCGCCGCCGCGTGTCAGACAGCAGCACCGCCGCCACGGCGGTCCGCCGCGCCGGCTGCGACATCGACGTCATCAAAGTACGACAGCCCTCGGCGACGACAGCCCTGCCTCCGCCAGGGGATGACGGCGGCGAGGGTGGTCCGCTAAGAGAGCTTGCATGGGCGTGGTTTCGGAGCCCGCAGGCTGCAGCCTCCTTCACAGCGGCGTAGCTAGGTGCCGGTGTAGCCCCGCCACAGCTGCCGCCGCCGCCGCCGCCGCTGCGAGTGATGGGCGCCCTGGGCGGCGGCCAGTTGTGCTGCTGCCGCTGTGGGGAGGTTGGGGAGGCGTCACGGAGGGGGTACACAGTCGCAACCGCTGTGGCGGCGGGTGCTGACGTGTACGGCTTCACACCGCCCGACACCCCGGCGGGTGCGACCCAAGCGGGGTGCGCCGGGGCTTCTCTGATGGCACCTGGGTGACACTGGCCGGGGCTGCGGCCCCCGGGGCTGGTCTGTGGAGGTTACGGTGCAAGAGAGGGGAGAAGGGGGCAGCATGAGGGCGATGGGCGCTACGGAGGGCAAAAGAAGGATGCGTGTACGGCACATGGTGCATAGTACACGCGTCGATAACGGTGTCGTGCAGCGTTACGTCAACGGTACTGCATTTACATCAACGGTGCCAGCTCACCTCCGCGACACCCCCGGCATGCATGCCAGTGGAGGATGGCACCCTCGAGGTACCCGGAGCCGCAGCCGCCGCCGCCGCCGCAGCCGCAGCCGCCATGGCTTGTAGCGCCTCCGACACATGCCTGGGTGCGGTGCGCGGCACGGGCGCCAGCGGCAGGGGCGCAGCCGCAGCAGCAGCAGCAGCGGCCTCCTCGTCTTGCGGGAACTGCAGGCCCCCTGCAGGCTGGTGCTGCGAGTAGTTGTGGTGGTTGTGGTGGTGGAGGAGGTCGTTGCAGGCGGGGTGAAGGGGCAGCGCGGAGGCCTCGCAGGGGTCGGGTGCGGGCTGCAGCAGCAGCGAGTGCCGTACCTCCCCCGCGTCGTAGGCGGTGCGGGCGAAGTCGCGGATGATGTCGTCTGGGGGGGGGAAGGAGCGGAGGAGGGGAGTGGGAAAGGGAGGGTGAGAGGAGATGGGAAAGCAGCTGAGCACGCCGGTACCTGTAAGCGGTAAGCATCAGTCGGTTTAGCTGCAACTGGGCACGTGGGCAGCTGAGGCTAGTGAGGCGGTGAGGAGCCAGGCAGCGGTCATGGGGGCACGTCCCTTCCCTCTCAAACCTTCCTATTGCACGGTCCCGCGGCCCACACGCGCCCAAGCCCGCCTCCGCCTCCCCACACCCACCTGCACGTAACGCCCGCCGCCGTCCTCCTACTACTACTCCGTCTCCTCCCCCTGCCGAGCTTCCCTGCTCCGGGCCTCCCTCCTGCCGCGCCTGCGCCTGTCCCTGCCCCTCGCCCTCGCCTTCCCCCGCCGGCGTCTGCGGCTGCACCGGGCACCCGGCGGCCGACTCGCGCCCCTCAGCGGGTCCACTGGAGCTGCTACCGGTAGGCGCGCAGCTGGCGCCCAAGATAGGCGCGGAACTGGCCAACGGAATAGGTGCGGAGCTGAAACCTCTCTGGCTCGCGACCCGGCCCTGCGACTGTACGACCACGACCCGCTGCTGTTGTTGCTGGGCCTGCAGGGCTGCCTGTTGGCTTTGGTAGCCGAGCTGCGAGAGGCTGATGGGCCGCAGGGCCGCACCCCGGGCGGCAGCCAGCCGGCCGATGCCGGGAGCAGCAGCAGCTGCTGCACCAGCCGAGGAGGTGCCAGCCGCCGCCGCCGCCGCAGCAGCAGCAGCAGGATTAGCGGCGCTGCTGGAGGTAGCGGCCGCGCTGTCGCTGGGTACGGCAGCGGCTGCAGCTGCTTGGTACTGCTGACGTTGCGGGACAGGTTGGGACTGAGGGGAGCTGGTGCCCGAGTGGTCCTTCCCGGTAGGAGCCGGGGGGAGCGGGGCGTCGGAGGCCGCAGCAGCCCTGCCGGCCCGCAGTGGACGGGCGCTGGCGGGATGAGGGTGCTGGCTGGCATGGGGGTCTCCGGGGGGAGACCAGGCACTGCGGCAGTTGGTTCGGGCGGAAGCAGCCGGGGCCTCCGTAGCGGCGGTGTTGGTGTTGATGGCTGTGCTGCGGCGGTTAAAGGGCGATGTGATGCTGCGGCGCCGAGAGCTGGATGTGGGGGTGAGGAAGTGCGGGGAGAAGGAGTGCGAGTCTACGCTGGCGGTTGTGCGGAGGGCGCGGGCTGGGGTGGTGGGCGCGGTGGAGTCGCGTTTCCCTTCGGTGTCGGAGTAACGCGGCTGCCAGTCAAGGATGTCAACGTGGCCACCTACGGATTTTAGCGGGCAAGGGTATGGTCAACACGCGTGCGCCCTGGTATAGTTGGAGTTAAGGTAGGCTTCCGATGCGTACCTCCTTGCCGGCCGAACGAGGAATACTCGTGCCATCCCTGTGCGGCCACTCTTATTTCACTTTGTCTTTCTCGTTCCACAGGACAGTTTACGCTCCTCTTGAGCTGATCGACAAGCTTCGATGTCTGGTTAAAAACGTCGGCGTAACTCTCGTGCACCGGGACGTCAACATGATGCTGGCGTTGAATCTGGAGTATAAAAACATGGGCAGTAAATGGTCATACTACTATCCAGCCTGGCTAGGATGACGGTCTAAGGGCGACCGCCGCGACCCCCAGCACGTCAGCCTTGGCCGAACAAGCTTGCTGCGCACCTGCGCGATGAGCGCTTCATAACTTGGTTGCTTGGCCATCCTCGCTATTTACTCCCAAGAAAACGCCCTCATTCACGGTTTCAGACGCAACTTGGTATGGCTAGCGCGTCGCACCAAGTATGGACAAGGTGCAAATAGCTGAAACACTACTAAGCTTTACGTATGTGTAAATTGCTGCAACACGGCAATGCGGAAAGTCGCGAATAGACTCCTGGCTGGAACGAACCCAGCTGAACGTGCAGCTAGATACCTAGATTACGCTAGATTCGAGGGTTGCCGCTTACACAAGAAGCTGGCCGTTATTTAGTATAAACGTTCGCTAACTTCCATCTACCAATGCACATCGTCGGTATGGAGCAAGTTGCCTTGCACATGCCGACTTGTTGCTCAGCTGGGTTAGCAAGCCAAGAATGCATAACAGTAGGCCCAACATATCGCCACCACCATTTTCATAAGCCCCATCCGCCTCATTTTTCGCTGACAGTGGCGCGCTCGGCCGCTACGCTTCAACCCCGGGCATGCTGCTACCGGTACTCATCTGGCTCCAAGCGCAGCCTTCTCCATGCCAGGTCGGGCGGCCTGTCCCATACGGACTCACGCGTCTGCTGATTGTAGTAGAAGTGTCGGCGCGAGTCGGGCGACCATATCTGTGTTTGGGAGCGCGTGGAGGAATCCAACTGAGCAGCAGGAACGGCAATGCAGGCACACATACACAGCGCATGGTAGTGTGCAGCAAGAGAAGGAAGGGCACGTGTGCACCCCGACAGCTGCCGCAACCCATGCAAGGCTGAAGCTGCACTATTGGTCACGCGTATGACTGATAAGAAAAAAGTCAGGGCCCCTTGCCCCTTGCTTGGCATAGTGCAACCTCTTGGAAGGGTGATGGTTAAGTGAAGCAGGTGATGCAATCTCCCATATCTCCGTGCCGTTGGCTCCTCAAATGACAGCGTCTTCTTCACCCCTCCTTCGTTGCCCCCCAGGGTCCCCTGGGCTTCTCGAAGAACTGGGGTCCCTGGATCTTGCGGGCACGAAAGGCACGCACCTCAACCCAAGTCCACTTGTAGCGTTCAGGGTCCTCGTTAACGCGCTCCCCGTTTAGTGATAGCCAGTACCTATTGCCCGCTTCGTCCTCGTAAGGCGTGTTCCCTGGGTCCTCACGTTGAATGGCTCCGGTTACCTAGAAGCATTCAGTAAGAACTGTATTGGGTATATACGAGAACGGCGAATACGCATTCGAAGTGGTCGTGCACGCAGCATTTCCTTGCCTCGTTAAAGTATATCCAGCCCTGTTGTGCTTCCGCAAGGCCTATTGGTAAGTTTAAAGGTACTTGCTGGTCTGTCGCCTTAGTGCAGGAAAGAAAGTGGGCAAAAAGCAAGACTGTTGCTACTAGTGGCACCATTACAGCTCAGCAATCCTTAACCTCGCAGGTATGCGCAGCCATACAATAACACGCGTATTTGTACTGTACTGTATGTGCTTTTGCAAGCGAAACCTGCAGCGTTTAGTTTGCAACCGTATGTGCCGTATGCAAGCACTGAGAGGGCAACAATGAATCCGCGTATAGCCGCAGGCGCCTATGGGACAACTACTTCTTGGCAGTACGTGCATTACCCGAGCAAGCCGGCGCTGCAATAACGGAGTGAAGCAAAACCAACCGCAGCATGCATTGCGACGCTCCAGCCAATGTGCAAGCTTGGGAATCCAAGATGCTTGACTATGGCAGGTCCAACTTGGCGCGGCTTGCACATTCGCTGTCCCCGACGTAGTCAACTTCTAGCAGCGCCATTCCAGCTCCAGGGCTCCGGAGTCACCGTACCATCGTGCGTGTCCCAGTCCGCTTCCTAACATGATTTAACAGCATTCCAAACACCTTCATGTATATATGCTTGCAAATAACGCCTGGCTGGCATAACCGTTCGCGCTATCCTCGTCTTCTGTTCGTCGTCAAACCTTGCCCATTGCAATGGACAGCATCCTCCAACTCTTCAACGTCCTCTTCACAGCTCCGCACGCCTTGCCAAGCCCAAACTCAACCCCAAGCAATCCTCACACGTCCCATTGCAGCTCGCAGCCCCCAACAGCTCCTGCCCCGGTGTCCCCAACCATCTCCGCCATCCCCATCCTCGCACCCAACATCCCCAGCACAACACCTCCAGCCGCCAGCTCCCTCCTTGCTGCCACCTCCACACCAGCAGACCTCCCACACGACGCTCTCGAGTTAATCCTACAGCGCTGCGACCCGGAAACCCTCGTTCGCTCGGTCCCCGCGGTGTGCCGGAGTTGGCGGGAGGCCGCTCGCTCCCTGGGTGTTTGGCGCCAGTGGCTGTCACCTGTGCTGCTGGTGAGGCTGCACGGGTAGGGGCCCGGGACGCGCACTGAGGCGCGGACCTGGTAGGCTTGCGGGTGAAGTGCCCTGTGCCCACCACCCTACTTCACCTTACTGTCGGCAACACTGCGGCCCCCCGCCTGCCTTTCTCTCTGCACCTGCCTGCCTTCCGCTCTCGCGCACCTGCTGGCACCCACTTAGGCGCAATTGCCCTTTGCCCCTCATTGCTTGCGACGTCAGTATCGATACTGGTTTCTTGCTGCCCCGCAGGCCCAGCTTGAGCCGCTGTCCCGGCTGGGGCCCCCCCTGCAGCCCGCCCACCTCTTCCTGGCCGCATGCGGCCGCAACCTGCTGAGGAACCCGGTGAGGGGTGGGGTGGGGGTAGGTGGTTTAGGGTAAGCAGCGAGGCAGCGGGCAGGTAGCGGAGAGCGGACAGCAGGCCGTGGGGAAGGGAGGGAGGCAGGGTGGGACCCGTCAGAAGCTGCTGGAAGCAGTAAAGGCGCGGCATTGTGTGTGAGTGCGGTGCGCAAACGGCACCTCTTCTATTGCCCGGCACCCTTTCTCTGATACATACGGCGTAATGCTCGCGCTGCCCCTCCCTCCTGCCCCCTGCCTCCTCCCTCCTCCCTCCTGCCTGCCCCTGCCTGGATCACTCGCAAAGTCCTTCCGCCGGGACGCCAACACAACACCGGCCGGGGGGCAGCCGGGGGCGGCTGGGAGCGGCAAGTGGCAGCGGGAGGCCTGGGTGAGGGGGTCAGCGGGCCTGCAGGGGTGGGGGGGCCGGGTGGGGATGGGATGGTCCTTCTGGCTGGCTGGCTGGCTGGCGTACCGGTTCTCTGGGGGCTTGCATGTACCGGTGGCTAGGCTGGGAAGTGGCAGGGGGTGCAGGAGGCGGGGGTGCGATCGGAGGCGGAGGCCGCTCGCCTGCGGATCAGAACTGACAGACCAAACACAGTGCGAGGCGCCCACACTCTCCCATTGCGAGGCGCCCACCCTGCGCTTCACAACCCTCGACTGGTAGCTGGATGCACTCCTCTCCCGCCTACTCGTTTTTGTTCGCGTTACAAAACAACAAATGTTAATTGGTAACATTGTGCGTGAGTACCCCGCGCGCAGGTGATCACGGCGGCCCCGGGCGAGGGACTCGCCTGGGAGCTGCCCCCCGCTGGAATTAAATTGTACGGCAGCAAGAAATACAGCAGCAACGGCAGTACGGCAGCAAGCAGCGGCAGCAGCACCGCTGCGGCCACTGAGGAGTGCTCGCTGCCGCCGCCACCGCTGCCGTACCCCGTCGGTAGCCGTTACTTAAGCAGCACCCTCAACACTCGCGCCTCCCCGGCTTCCCTTTCTTCGACCTTATCTTCCTGGATGCCCTTCTCTCCCTCCTCCTTGCTCCTCTTCTCATCCTGCTCGCCCTCTGCTGCTGCCTCACTGCGAGGCCCGGCGCCGCCGCCGCCATTGCAACAGCAGAAGCAACAGCAGCAACGGCCGCCGCAGCAGCAGCCGTTGCTGCAGCTGCCTAGTTTGTTCGGAACGGGTAGCGGTGGGCTGGGTAACGGTAACGGTAACGGTAACGGTGGGTGTCGCAGCAGTAGCATCGGCGGCAGTCGCTACTTCGGCAGGGCGGCCCCCGGGGAGTTCCGGCAGCAGCAGCAGGGCTGTCTGGCCACCAGCAAGGACTGGTGCGAGGTGGTGCAGGTGCGGGTGGGTAGATACCGGTGGATAGCAGGAGGGCGTGGGGCAGGGAGGAGGAAGTGAAGGGTAGGGCCACATGCAGGAAAAGAGGGAAGGGTATCGCTCTGGAACCTTCCGAACAAGCCAAACGTCTCCCGCTCCGTCAAGTCCCCCTTCTTCCCCCCGCCCCCCGCCCCCGATCCCCTCCCCCCCGCCCCCCCTCCCTCCGCAGGTGATCGATCTGCAGGGGGAGCTGGTGTCCCGCGGTCTGAGCGGCGCGCAGGCGGCCCAGCTGCTGGATGCGGGGCTGGGGATGCGGCTGAGCGTGCACGTGGGGAGCAGGTGGGGGGAGCGGGTTGGGGGATGGAAGAGGGGGTACAGAGGGGGTACCCCCCCTTGACTACTGCCATCATGCCATGCCACATTTCGCTAATGATACAAACACATCGTCCGCAAAGACCGCAACGTGTACCGAGTCTCAGTCTCCTAACCCGACTCTTGTACATTTACCTTGTACCCTGGAACCTACCATGTTCCCTCCCCCACTTCCCCACCGCGCGTGTTGCTGTGTCCGCAGGTGGGACTGCGTGGGACAGTTCAGTGTGGGCCTGCTGCTGGACGAGGGAACGGGCAACGCAAACGGATACAGCGGCGGCGGCAGCGGACGACCCATGGGTCGCGAGCAGCACTCCTCCGGCCACCACGACGCCGCCACCTTTCCCTCGCTGCAATCCTTCGTCATGCGGCCCACGCGCCACCACTTCTACATGGTAAGGGCGGATGTTTGTACGTCATTTCACCGCGGTTCAGATTACCTAACCCCCTCCCTGCCTCCCCCCAGGGTCCCGTCATGTGCACCTCCGACTGCTGGCAGCGCTTCTGCTACTCGCTGCCCGCCTGCCCGCCCGGCTGCCGGCGCGCGGTGGTGGTGCTGCGGGGCCGCCGCGCCCCCTCCAGCCTGCTGGTGTCGCCCCTGCCGCGTCACTGCGGGGCCAAGTTCGCGGCGGCGGAGCTGGTGCTGCTGTGAGGGGCGGGGCGCGGGAGGGGGGAGGAGGGGGAAAGAAAGAAAGGGAGGTGACGAGAGAAGGGCAACTGCGACTGTGTGACGAAAAAGGAAGGTGTGTGGTGGCGCCCTGGTGCGGGAGGTACTGCGAGGAATAAGGTGACGGGGTGGGTGGTGGGGGTAAGAAAGAAGAATTCCGTAAGTGTGGGTGGGGATGGGGGCTCGGCTTGGTGGGCTGTGCCACATGGTAGGCGCGGTGAAGTTGGTAGTTGCATGTGCACGTCTGCCGGAGCGTGCGTGTGGGCGATTGGCAATGAGCCACCACGTGTTCGATAGTAATCATGTTGTATTTTAACATGGCGCTTGTAACATCCGTTTGCCGCGCATCTATGGCTGCCCATCTTATATTATATGGGACAGGGCGCACAGGCACCATTGGTGGATGCAAGGTGTGGGTTGTCCAATAGGGACTTACACGTCATGAGCTGATGAACGCATACCAGTTTTGCCGGGAGCGATTCGTGCGTGCATCCCAAACATGCAGTGTAAGTAAAGTTCGTGGGAGAATGGGGGAAGCACCTCTCGCAATTAACGACGACCATCGCAGCCATGGCAAATGTACTGCATGCCGCCAGGCGAATACCGACACAACGTCGAGACGAGTTACTACACACAGTCAATTGTACAACATGCTTCGAACAACCTTGCATTCATCCTTAGCTGTGTGGGTGGCGGTTGTATCTGTATCTAACCGAGGGGATAGGAAAGCGAGCTTTCCCCCGCCACGCTAAGTTGGAAGCAAGACGAAGACGATGCCAACTCGAGCCCCTGACCACACCCTTAACGTACAGGTTGATTGCCAGCAAACCCCTGCCGAGCAATTGATACAATAGTCAACGAAAGGGGAAACGAGGCAAACGCATACCATTTCTCCAAAATTAGAAATAACGCAACTGCAATAAACCCCCTAATCCAACGCGATGTTCTTTTCTGTAGGTAAGCCATTTGACCTCATATAGTTGAGCCACGATGCCATCCAACAAGCTTCGTGCCGCGAGGGCAGTGACTCGGAGTGCGGATCAAGCCCTCAGCGAGAGCCGCCTCCGAACAAAACTGTGGATTGCCGAGACTGTCGAGCACTTCCTCCAAGGTCCACCCAGACACTCCTAAACCGACGTGTTTCGTGCTGGTCGAGTCGAGTCGAGCATACACACATGACCCGAGCACCGACCCACGGGTCACCAAACCCCCATCATGGATCCAGCAGCATCCAGCAGGCTCTAGCGCCAGGCGGGGTTCTCCAGCGGCATGTAGACCGCCTTGACCTGCGGGGTGGGGGGGTTGGGGGGTGCAACGAGGTAGGGAGGGGGAGATGAGGAGGCAGTCACAGCATTTGAACAAAGGAATAGACAGGAATCGCGTCGACAGTTCTTCTAGTAGTGCTAAGTTGTGCCCATGCGTCCTTCTGTACCCTCCTCTCCCCTTCCAACAATGCTTAAAGCAGTACCCGCCATCCCACATGCGCCTGCATGTCTAAACCACCACTAGCGTCCCCGCACCTGCGTGTAGTTTGACAGCGCGTACTCGCCCTTCTCGCGACCAATACCCGACTCCTTGTAGCCGCCGAACGGAACAGCGCCGTCATACTGGGGGGAGGCGGGGGAGATGGGGGTGGGGAAAACGAGGGGGGAAGAATAGACGAATTAGGAAACCAAGTAGTCCTTTGTATGTGATCTCCGGTCCAACACCACCGCCCTGCCCTTCCACCCTGCCCCTCACCCAAACGCCACATAACACCAACCCCCTCCCTTCCCCCCTCCCTGCCCCCCTCCCTGCCTCCTACCAGGTTGTAGCAGTTCACCCACACCGTCCCCGACCGCAGCGCCCGCGTCAGCGTGTTGACGGTGTTGACGTTGTTGGAGAACACGCCGGCCGCCAGACCGTACGGCGAGTTGTTAGCGCGCGTCACCACCTCCTGCAGCGAGCCCCACTTCATGATGCTCTGCACGGGCCCAAAGATCTCCTCCCTCGCGATCTGCATGTGGTCGGCCACGTCGGCAAACACAGTGGGCTCCACGTAGTACCCGCGCTCGCCCGCCCGGCGCCCGCCGCACATTAGCCGGGCACCCTCGCGCTTGCCGCTGGGGGGGAGAAGAATGGGGAGGGGAAAAAAATTATATAAGTGAAACAACGAATCCCAATCGAGGGAGGGGAAGGGGGGCAGGTCAGAGCGGGCAGAGGAGAAGGATTAGGGAGGGGGAGAGGATGGAGGGGTTCAGGCACAGCGTTAGGTACAGGGTCCGGGATAATAAGGGGATGAGCACTCCTCCCCGTCTAGCATCCTCCTCCTGTGTGTCTTTGTCCCTCTTCTCTGCCCCCCCGCCCTCCCGGGCATCACCGGGACAAGCACCTCCTGAACCTCTTCTCCCCTCCCCTTCCGTTTCTCTTAGTTATTTCCTCTTTACCCCGTTTCCCTTAAGCTAGTGCCTCCCACCTGCTTTGTCCCGCCCTTCCCCTCCGCTGCCCCCCCCCCCATCCCCCCCCCACCCCGCCCACCTGTCGATGTACCCGAGCACCTTGCTGAACTGGTCGCTGTCCACCTGGGGGCCCTGGTCGGACTGGGAGTGGAAGGGGTCGCCCACCTTGCTGGGGGGGGAGGGGGAAAGAGGAGGCATGGAGGGGGAGGGGGCGGGGGGCGGCATGGTAGGGGAGGAAGGGGGGGGCGGCATGGGAGGGGAGCAGGGGTAAGGAACATGGGCACATGGCATAAGCCGGCAACCTTGATCGCTTGTCGGGCAGCAATCCCTCGACGCCTGCTGGGGAGAGTGCCTGTTGCTGCTCTATCCACGTCACGCTGCAGGAAAACCCCCTGCACACCGAAGCCAACACCGGACCCCTCCCTCTCCCCCTCCCTCTCCCCGCAACTCCCTCACTTCTCCCCCCTCCCCCGCCTCACCGCTTCTGCGCCGCCTCGGTTGACTTGGCCACGAACTCGTCGTAGATGCTCTCGTGCACAAACACCCGCGACCCGGCAGCGCAGCACTGAGGGGCGGCAGCGGGGCAGCAAATTGGCGGGCGGGTGCGACAGGGGCCAGGGGCTTCACGACATGACCAGTTAACAGCAGGGCAATGTCTGCAGCACCAGCCTTCCCCCATTCCTCACTGTCTACACTGTCTTCCTCACCTCAAAAAATCAGAAGACAATAAACCACCAAACGAGCACAAAAAAACCAAAGAACCCAAACACCAAAAGCTCCCCCAGCCTCTTCCTTCCTTCCCATTTGCTCTTCCTTCTTTTCATGTTTGTCGCTATTGAGTCGTCATCTTTAATTGTTTCTTCTTTTCTTCCTCTTTTCTTCTCTTCTTTATTATCATTTTTCTACTTCTCCTCTTTTATTTTTTTTGCAATTTTATCTTATATCTTTGATCCCCTTTCAAACGCATGCGCATGCAGGCCCCAACCCTCCTGCCCCCCGCCCCCGCTCCTGCCCTCGCTCCTGCCCTCACTCCTGCCCTCCCGCCCCTTCCCCCTCTTCCTCCCCCCCCACCACTTCGGCTCGACTCACGGTTGTTTCCACCAGGGCTTGTCAGCTACATGTACCACTATCACACCACACATTGGAATTTCTTTTTTCCCCCTCCCGCCCCTTCACCCTCTTCCCTCCCCCTCCCCCTCCTGCCCCTCCCCCTCTCCCCCCCACCTGTCCATGGTTGAAGAACAGCGCCATGTGTGCATCCGCCACCGCCTTGTCTACATCCACATCCGGGCACACGATGATGGGTGACTTGCCGCCCAGCTCCAGCGTGCACGGCTTCAACTGGTCGGCGGCGGCGCGGGCAACCAGGCGACCCACCTCGGTACTGCCGGTGAAGGCGGTCTGGGGGGAAGGGGGAGGGAGGGAGATGGGGAGGGAGGGAGGGAGGTGGGCCGAGACAGGACAGGAGGGTTGGGTAGTAGGTGAGGGCTAGGCCCCAGGAACAGGAAGGTCGCATCCGAACGATTGTCAAGGACATGCGCGGCATGCGGCTCGCAGCCCATGTGACACAACCAAGTGCCCACGCAGCCCCCATCCCAGTCCTGGGCAACAACACACCTACACTACACAGGATGAAGCAGCAGCACTGCGCGGGGATCAGCGGGTCAGCGCCCGTACCTTGTCAATGCCCCGGTGAGTGGCGATGGCGGCCCCCGCGGTGGGTCCCAACCCAGTCACCACATTGATAACGCCGTCGGGGATACCCACCTGGCGGGGGGGGGGAGGGGGAAACATGTATGTATGGGGTTATACTGCGCTAAAGCATTGTCCAAAGCAATCCTGCCCCCGCCCCCTCCCCTCCCTCACCGCCTTGGCCAGCTGCGCCAGCTTGAGTGCGGTCATGGGCGTCTGCTCCGCGGGCTTGAGCACCACCGTGTTGCCGGCGGCCAGCGCGGGGGCCAGCTTCCAGGCGGCCATCAGGAGGGGGAAGTTCCAGGGGATGATCTGGGGGGCGGGGGGAAAGAGGGGAGGAGAGGGGCGGGGAGAGGTAACCTACTAAAGACGTAAAGAGCAGCCGTTGCAGTGCCGGTTTTCATGCGCCCCGATGCCCACTCACCCCCCCAATCCCCACCAGCCTCACCCCACCCCCCACCTGCCCCACGACCCCGATGGGCTCATGCATCGTGTACGCCATGTAGGGCCCATCCACCGGGATGGTCCTGCCGTGGATCTTGTCCGCCCAGCCCGCGTAGTAGCGGAAGTGGTCGATGGACAGCGGCACGTCAGCAACCCGGCTGTAGAAGAGGGGCTGCGGGCGGGGAGGAGGAGGAGGAGGAGGAGGAGGAGGGGGGAAACACATGACAAGATGGAGCAACGAGGAGGAAGGAGGAGGGGAAACAAGGAACGGGAGGTGGGTCAGTTGCAGTGAAGCAACCACTCCAGCGAGAGTGCTATCTACAAGACTACAAAGCCTACAGTCCAGGGGCCAAGCGCAGCGGAAGCACCATCCCGATCCGGCCCCATACCCCACCAGAACCCAACCCCTCCAATACCGGTAGCTAATTTTACCACCCAAACCCCTCTCTCCCCCCCCTCCTGTCCCTGCAGCCTGCCACCCACCTTGCCGTTGTCCAGCGTCTCCAGCGCCGCGAGCTCCTCCGAGGCGGCCTCCATCGCGTCCGCCAGCCGGTAGAGCAGCCGGCCGCGCTCCTGGATTGGAAATCGAGGGCCACGGAAATGAGCTTGGAGGGAAGGAATTAGGAAAATAAAGATACAGCGGATGCCGTTGAATGATAGACGGTCAGGATTTGCTATGAGGCTTGCCGTTGGCATGCCAAGGAAGAAGCAGCTACCAGATAGAGGATGAGAAGAGTGTCGCACCTTGGCGGTCATGCGCGGCCAGGGGCCGTTATCAAAGGCGTGGCGAGCAGCGGCCACGGCCTTGTCAACATCAGCGGCATCGCCCTCGGAGACGTCGATGAGGACCTCCTCGGTTCGGGGATCCACCACCGACATCCTGCGCCCCGACGCAGCCTCGGTCCATTTGCCACCAATGAAGAGCTGCACGGGTCAATTAACAAGCAAAATAGTTAAGCAGATACAGGTGATCCTGGAAGTTATCCCTTTCGCGGTGCCCGAAAGAGTTGCTTCCACGTCGGATGCAACGAAACAGGGGCCGCGAGAGACTCCGACCTGAACGCAAGCTCTAACTTAGACCTATCGCTAATCCTACGCCAAGCATGCTTTCATGCTGGCCTTGCACCTTGCGCAAGCAAAGCATAGAGTGAAACCACGCTCACACCTTTCCAGGCAGGCGTTTAGCGTATTCAAGAGCCGCCTGGACCTCCCGTTCGTGATCAGCAAAAGCCCTGAATATATGAGGAAGTGGATCTCGTTACGCAGCTGACCTAAAGTATCCTATCGGACTGGGGCTCTACTTCTACACTTACGGCTGCGCGGCACTAGAGAAGCTGCGGCTAACACTAGAAAGAAGTGGCAGTAGTGACTGCTGAACGCGACCGCTTTTCCGGGCCGCTGCGAGAGCTGCAAGAGCTGCCATCGTTAGTAAAAGGTTAGTACCACTGCCTTCTTGCTGGGGACAACTTATAAGGGATCCCAGTTAAAACCTGTTCGCAGTTTACGTTTGTCTTTAGTGATCCAGTGATGCTTGACGTCAGCTTTGCCGTGCGGCAGTTGGCAATTAAACCTGATCTGCGTCAGGTTCAATTCATTTATGTTCAGTTATTTCTAATTTTACTCTACTATTCGGCTTACATTCTGTTGCACATACCAAGATGTTGGCAAATGTGTGAAGTGGTCAGCATCCAAACTTCACAGGGACCCAACTAGACTGCAACGCCTTTGCGATATTATCAATACCAGCTACTGACTGCCACCTGCAACATATGGTTGTATCTGGCTTTAACCTGGGGTGCACCTGGAGGATGCCTGAACGTAAGCGCCTTAATGCACTTCAAGGCTTTCTAACCACCAGCCCAGTCCGCCAATGTCTAGGATTAAAGAAAGGTGACCTGGATAAGACATGGGCAAAGCCAGGGCCTATCGGGTCCTGAGGCCCTGCCGGGATTGCACACCTCGTGCCCATGCCTGCAACACCCATCCCGGCGTATCAACCCACCATCCCTGAGGCCTCTTACTGTCAATACAAGCTCCCGCTGGCAACGGTTTACAAGCAGCAAGCCAATAGCGTGTCATCGCTTTCCATGATGTGAAGTCTGCTCCAGCCGTTTGCCAGGGGTAAAGTGCAGGCGAGCACAATCGGACCCCAAACGCCGAGATGGCAACAGAGACCTAGATCCAAAACGCCTCCCACGGAGCTTCAGATACCTAACTAAGCGAGGGTTTGGGCATATTTGCCATGCATGTGCATGCACTCCTGTTGAACAAAGACTAGCTCCGGGCCCCCCACGCTCTCCCTGCCCTCTCGATAATGCACCCCTGACAGCTGCCCCTGACTCAACCAACTGTTATTACGACAAACTTCTAACTTCATTTCATAAATCAAATAATACCTCTGGTACGGCAACACCGAAACCACAAGCAGCTCCTCGGCAGCAGTAATAACCGACTCTTACCTCCTCAGCTCACTCAACCCTGCAGGTTGCGCCAGGTGCACCAGACCTTGTTACTTCAATTCCCTTGCAACGCCCACTCGGCTGACGCCTGACCCAGTAACAGCGACGGTCACCATGCAGGCTTCCAAGGGGAGGGAAGGGGATGAGATCGCCGCCGGCATGCGGAACGTCACTCGGCAGGTGACCCCCGCCCCTCTCTCGGCAGGGTACCCCCACACCAAACACAACAAGCCACTCAGGGTTGGAGGGGCAACGAGCACAACCCCTCAGACGCAACGGACAAGACAGTTGACTGCAAATCTCGTCTCAGCACATTCGCACAATTCATTTCAACTCCGGGTTGTTTCAGCTTGGACCAGCATCGCAGGCCGGCGGAATCGGCAATGCAGCACTGCAGCAGGCCCCACGCAGCCCCACAGTGCATCACACCGAGACAGTGCGGTTAGCTTGGAGACGGACAAAAACAACAATATGAAATGCATGCATGCTTTATGCAAAGAGGAGGCTTGCTGCGTGCACGCTGACGCACGTCAGCCGCACATACAGCATAAACCCCACCCAAGCTCCTACTATCCTACACCTACAGCTATCCACTGAGTAGTACATGCGACGCCTGACCAACGCTACGCTAACAACGTATACCATTGCAGTTCTACCCTAGCTTCCCAGCAAAGCGGCATTGCTACACGCCTGTAGCTGTGTCTCAATCATCATGCGATGCGTCAAATCTCCATCCTCTTGCAACTAGCGTGCTTGCCACGACGAAGCATGCCCGACGAGCAAGCATCGATCCAAGGACCTGCGTGCATACCTACGGGAACGCGCAATCAGTGCATACCCCGCCGCCAATGCTACCTCGTATCACTCGCGCCCCTTCCATTGCTGACTATCATCGCCGTAGTTTAAACACGATCACCATCCTCGCCGCTCCTCGCAACACCGCACAAGCCACACCTCGAGCCCGCTGCTGCAGTAACTGCCTTGCACCTCCTACGCACTGGCAGCACCGCCCACAACAACTCCCTGTCCTCCACTGCCTTATCACGAGACAGCCCCGGCCCCCAAAGTAGCCCCTCACCCCAAACATGGCCTGCTGTGTCACTGCCAATAAAGATACAACTGCGCCTACCTCCTACAGCTACTGCGGATGCTGCTGCCGCTACCTACCTTGTTCCTAAACACCTAGCGTTCCACCTTTGCAACGCACTGTCACGCGCCTTGACAGCAGCTGCCGTCGCTGCTGTTGCTGCCCCTATCTTTAACCTCGCACCAGGCGCCATACTCCGCCTCATACCTTACCGGCAGGTAGCATCCACCACTGCTTTCTACCGCACCTCTGGCCACCACCCCGTTGCCTGTCAGCTTGTCCTGCCACTGCTACTGCCACTGCCACCACCACTACCTCCTCCTGTACCAGCTGGTCTAGTTAGGACTGACCAGCTTGTCTGCTACACTGGCAAGCTGACCCCGTCCGCTGGCCGCTAGGCTGCTGCTGCCACCACCGATGTATGCCGCTGGCCCCAGGCACCCGACGCTACTGC